ACAGTGCCTCTGCACTGCAGAGCAGGCTATCATGGTACAATGCTTAAAATGCTATTTCTGGATTTGGGGAGTAGAACAAAATGTCAGAAAATGATCTTAAAGTATAACTAATTACTTCTCAGGAGTTTAGATGCATGTATATTTTTCATCAAAAGTTAAAAGGATTCAGAATGTAAAATGCCCCAAAATAGGTTAGAAATCCTTGGTTTCCTTCCAGGAGTTAAACAGTCTTCATCATTTTGTGTTCTTTATTTCAGAGTCATTACAGTGCTAGCAGGCTTACAGACAGTAACATTTTTTTTTATTATGGCTATATTTTATTTTTATTAAAGATATATTTTTATACTGTCACAGTAGTATATATTACATATTCTTTTGCATTTAGACTAGCAGAAGTTTTTGCCAGCATGTGTATATAGTCATACTTAAGTATTATATTGTGCAACCAATAGATTTGCAAAAAGCATGCTGATAGGTCTTCACTTAAATGACAATGGTTTCAAGGCAAAGAAAAAAAAAACCCCACACCTTTATTTGTAAAATGCAATACAGAGTACTACTAAGTCAGTCGTCTCTGCCAAGAGTTCTGGGCCAGAACACCTGATTGCTGACACCCAGCTGTGAAGTTTGGGTAAGGTCAACTATGCCTGCAGCAAAAGATCAAAGAAGGACAGAACAAAGGAGTAAAATACATAGAAAGGCTCTCCCTGTGCAAGCTACACCACATCCTCTAGCATATGACTTTTTCATTTAAACAGCCTTTCTTCATTTTACCTATGCTTTTCTAGCATAAGTATCTAAGTTTGGAAGTCAACATTTTTTTAGTGCTTTTTTCCCAGTTCTGGAAGGGAAATGTAACCTACTAACAATGAAGAGCAGAATAAAAATCAGTTCTGACCTACACTGGTTGAAGTTTGTTACAATCTTCCCAAACTTTTTCTTCTGCTGTGGATATCTTACACTATACAGATGTGTAATGTTCTTTAACTGACATAATAAAAATTAAAATAATATTTTAAAGTGATCTGTATGACAGCCTGAGAAAATGACTCGGAGTCTAAAACACATTCTGTCAGTTTCCTGAAAATAAATCACTATTAGTTTGAGATTCCAGACCTACTCCATTCCATTGAGTATGAAGAAATGTTTAAATAGTACACAATTAATGACAGAAAACTGATATGAATTACACAGTTTTAAAGGAATTTGTTAGAGGTTGACATTATTTCCTACATTCAGGGAAGGTTGTTGCTGAAGACTTAATAATATGTATCTGTCACAAAATATAGCTTCTTCTGCCTTCCACAGCCAAAAAGGGTACAAAAATCCGCAAAACAAATTAAGAAGTACAATCTTCAGCATGCATTATCTCATAATTATTTAGATATTTTTTTGTTTTTCAGCAATCCTTCTTTCCCACTGATATATACAGAAAACTTTAAGCTTAAAATACAAAGACTAAATTTTAATCATATTTATATCATATAGCGCCATATATATTTTCAGGCCTTATACCATTGTCATCCACATCAGGCCCCCTCCATCAGCATGTCTTTAGGTCACCGGTTAAAGGCCTGGGTTTATCAGGGGAAAATTTTAAACATGAAGTCCTTCAAACATTTTATTGAAGTGGCTCTTTCAGTTTGTCATACATTCATAGTTTCTGCAAGAAATTATAATTTCAGAGGTCCAGTTCAGAGTTCTATGACACACATAGATATAAATGCTCATTATGCTACCAGTGTGCCTTTGTGGCCAAAAAAAAAAAAAAAAAAAAAGGGTGTCAGCAGCATCCTGGGTTGCGTCGGGAGGATGTTGCCAGCAGGAGAAGGGATGTGATCCTGCCCCTCCTCTGCACTGCTGAGGCCACACCGGAGTGCTGGGCCCAGTTCTGGGCTCCCCAGTACACAAGAGACATGGACATACCGGAGCGAGCCTAGGAAGGGATACAGAGATGATGAAAGGAACAGAGCATTTCTCCTCTGAGGAAAGTCTGAGAGAGCTGGGACTGTTCACCCTGGAGAAGCAAAGGCTCAGGGTGGGGGGTCGTCTTATTAAGGTGTAGAAATACCCGAAGGGAGAGCACACAGAGGATGGAGCCAGACTCTTCCCAGATGTGCCTGGTGACAAGGCCAGAGGTGATGGGCACAAACTGAAACACAGGCAATTCCCTAGAAACATCAGGAGACATTTTTCACTGTGAGGGTGAATGAGCACTTGCACAGATTTTTTTCTCCTTCTGGATGGTTCTAGAATGTGCAGCAGTACCACAGCCCCTAAAATGCATACCACAGCCCACCCCTTTGTCATTCCTTGCACCTTTCTCACCTTCTCACATTGGTGTGGCTGCTCTGAGCTGTTTCTGGGTCAACCCTTCACAGTAATGTGTGGTTTTTTACACAGGGTGCTTTTCTTTCCTGATGACTCAGCTCAATAATATGTACCAAATTCAATTGTTACTTCAAGTGAAGACCATCAGGGAACAGGGGCGGACTCGGGCTCCCTCAGTATGGGATCCATCACTTAACTAATTATTCCCGAACAAACATACAACATTTGGCAGTCCACAGACAAAAAACCATCACAGAGCGGATGTAGCTGGGGGCGGGGGGGGGAGCAGGGACCCCTCCCAAGCTTCGGGAATTATCAACAAAGCAACGGCCGAGTGCCGAAGGCAATGGAACCAGCGGGGGATGGAAGTCGGCACTGGTGGCAAAATGAGGTCTACCTTCACTCCACCAAAAAAGTGGGGTAGAAGTGCCTAATGCTCCCCACCCCACCCGGACCGGCCCCCCCATCGTGGCTACAGCGGGATGGGGTTTCCCTTAATCAATTCAGTCGGTGTGCGTTTCAATGGGACAGTCATCAAGGCCCGACCTAGACAAACAATGAAACCTGACGCTTATCTTATCCTAGCAAAGGCTGTTAGTGTAGAAAATTCACAAAAAAAAAAAAAAAAAAAAAAGAGTGAAGCTTATAACGATCCATTATTAGACAAGCCTACAATCAAAGCTACTTGGAGCACAAAAACACTCAGTAAGTGATTTTAATATAGGAAAAGCCCTGAACAGTTTTTACGTCTCTGTGGTTTCTTTAGAAGTAGAATTCAAACATCAGTCCGTATTGTACATTCACAGGTAGCATTCTAAACCATATTCTCATCAAGAGAAGTCAGCCATGGCATTTTCTTGGCACAACCACAGAGAAGGAATCCATCTATCCATCTGCACCCGGAGCTGCAACTCGAGGTGGATCACGTCCCTAAAAGCACCAGGGATAAGGTGCTATTTCGCCCCCTACTGTCCTGGGGCAGGCTCCGGAATCCGTACCAGTGGCGATCCTGTAAATCGTCCCTGTCTTCACGTCCAAGCATCTCCCAGCAGCTACAGTTTCATTATTAAAAAGGTTTCTAATAGAACCGTACCAGCGTTTGACCCTTAATTCACTCAGCTAAGGAGATCCACAAGGTAAATCAGAAGAAAAAAACCAAGAAAGAGTCTCAGGATGCTGTTGTCTTCAAAACTGCAGCCCAACCAACTACAGTTTCTTGGAGAAAGATTCCTATGTGAATACTCTTCTTTGTCATAACTGCATTTTCTTTCTCTCCATACTATATCCTATGAGTAGAGAGGTCTGCTTAGCCTGCATAGTTCAGCATTCTGCAATTATGTGGTTTGACATGGGGGAGCACCCTCAGGTTATCTACGGAAATTAGTGTTGTAACACCAGTCCCCAGTGCAGAAGGTAATACTACCATGGTGGAAAAAAAAGAAGATCATGGGAATTGAGAAAGCAGGAAATCCTGGCTCCTAGTTCCAGGATATGTGCTCTACATGACTTTTAACCGGAAGAATATGAGCACAAAGAAAAGAAAACCAAAGCACTTTGTGAAAACAAGAAATAAGGCATGTATGTAGAAAAATATAGCAACTTATAAAGAGGCATTCACAAATGCCTAAAATTATTATCTCAGGGAACATATAGAAGAAACAACCTAAGAAAGCACTATTACCTTTCAACAGTCACTGAAATATAGCAAAATTTAACTAGTAGAAATGCAAGAGGTAACATGAAACACATCTCAGCTTTAAGGCTGGTTTACTTAAAAAATCAAGCAAAAACCGGCGAATTTCAGCAGGTAAGAACACAGTGTTTCTCTAATGGACATCCACCTTTTTGGTTTTTACACATATCATGACATATGACTGAGCACTTTTCTCCAGACTTTTTTCTTTTTTTTTCCCTGAAGGAGAACATACAGAAGGGTCCACCAGGCCTTCTCGGGGGGAGGGGGTTTGGAGGCAACAATGAAGCAGATGATGATGATGACATTGCAAGTCTTCAAAAAAGAGACAATTCAGTCACGCACAATTAATGCCTTGTGAAACAACTTGCTTCGGAATAACGTATTAATTTCTAAACAACCAAAGGCAGGAGTCAAGATTCAGAATTACAATCGCCTCTCCGCATGCAGCCTGGAACATAAGCGCTCCCGTCTCTCTTCGGAGTCAAGGAAGGCTATACACACTTGCTTGTCCTTTAAAGATAACGTGTTTTAGCGCCTAGCGTGACTGTTGCGATAATAAACGCCCGAGCTGCCCAAATCACGGGCGCACCGCGGGCACCCGCCCCTGCCCCCGCCCCCGCCCATCCCTGCCCGCGCCCCGCCCCTGCCTGCCCCTGTCCCTGCCCCTCCCCACCCCTGCTCGCCCCCTGTCCATGCCCCCTGCTCCCACCCCTGCCCGCCCCTTCCTGTCCCTGCCCGCGTCCCGCCCCTGCCCCTCCCCCTGCCCGCCCTGCCTGTCCCCTGCCGGCGCCCGCCCTGCCCCTACCCACCCCTGTCCCTGCCCCTGCCTGTCCCTGCCCGCGTCCCGCCCCTGCCCCTCCCCTGCCCGTCCCTGCCCGTCCCCTGCCGGGTGCCCGCCCCCTGCCCCTGCCCGCCCCCGTCCCTGCCTGCGCCCCCGCCCGGCGCGCCCCGCGGCTGGCGCTGCCCCGAAGCGCTCGGCGGCCGCCGGGGCCTGCGGGAACATGGCCGAGTCTCCGGAGGAGGTGGCGGTGCTGGTGCAGCGGGTTGTGAAGGACATTCGCAACGCCTTCCAGCGCAACCCGCACATGTGAGTGCGGCCGGCGCCGGGCCAGGCGGGAGGGAGGGAGGGAGGGAGGGAGGCAGGCAGCGCTGCCCGCCCTCCGCGCCGTGCTCGCCCCGCGGGCGTGCGGGGTGCGGGTCCCGCCGGGGCGGAGCGGGTGCCGGGGCCAGGGCCGGTTGCCGGGCCCAAGGTCACGCCGTGAGCGGCCGCGGGGACCCACCGGGTTTTCTCCGAGCTGCCGTGGCAGCTGAGCCTGTCGGGGCAGGGCGCGGTGCCCCGCATATCCCGTGCGCTGCTGCCGCCTCGGCTGTCCCGGTAGCGCCGCGGACCGGCCCCGGGAGCCTGGGCCCCTGAGCGCCGCGCCCGCGGGGATCCACAGCCCGGCGGCGAGAACCGCCTCGTCGGTGAAAGGGACCGAGTCACGGACACCAGCGGCGCCTCCGGAATGTGGAAGGGATGAGTGTATTTTCAGAGAAAAGTTCTGAAGCGAACTTTTCTCTCTCTTGACGTTTGGCGGAGTTAAACTCATCGCAGCGTCGGGCTGGGGCTGAGCCTTGCGGGCGGGTGGGTCAGCCCTGCCGAGCCCCGCGGGACGCACCGAGGTCTCTGTGTGTGCCCGGGACAGAGCATCGGCGCCGGCGGGAACGAAACTCGGGACTGAAGCCCACTGAATTGCACCCTTACACGAACAGTGCGGTGTGTGAATGCCACCCTCAAATCTGTATCTGTTGATAGAGGTGCCAGTGTGTTGTTTTGAAGGAGGCAGAATGACTGTAAAAACGCAAATTGCAGTTATGGCTCTCTTGTGAGAATCAGATTTATCCAGCAATCTATGGGGCAGATGGTCTTTGTTTCATTTTCAGTTCCACTGTTGACCAGCTTTCACACCTTGTTTCAAGTACCTCCTTATTTCGTTTTCCCTCACAGCCTTTGTTTTAAGACACCAGTGGTTTAGGGAAACATCTTTCTATCTATTTATGCAAGCTCCATGTTGGTTATGGCAAATGAGCTACCATATAATGAATAACACCTTCATAACTTAACTGAGGTGTATTTGTGTCTTGGGAACGCTGCAGTCTCTAAGGTGGTGGCCTATTAATCTGCTCCAGAAAATGGTAGGCTAAGCAATTACGTAGGAAATTTTATAGAATCACGGAATTACGTAGGAAATTTTATGGCACTTAATTTATCCCTTTGCTTAAATGAGAGAATTAGAATAAATATCCTCATGTTTCTGTAAATGTAGTAAGGAACTTGGGTGGGTGTTCAGGTTTTAAAATGCAGCATATGGATGCTGTTTAAAAAAAGACTGCGTTTTGCCTTGAGCTTCATTTTTAGCATGTAAGGCATAATGTGCTGTAAACAGCCAATATTTATGAATGAATGCTCTGATTCTTCTAAGTTCCCACTCCTTCACCAAAATTATTTATTGGTAGCAAACTGAGTTTTTAAAGGATATGCTGCGGTTGCAGTTTTCTGTCATAGGTTTAATCTCAGAGATGAAAGTAGGCTGCAAGAGTTGTGCGCACTGAGACTGATGCACTGTGTCATGCTTCAGGTGAGAAAGCACAAGCTACTGCAAGTTTATCCCCCAGGGTAGAAAAAGTGGCAGCTCTGTCTGCTAGATTTCTTAACTGGTTGACGCTACTTGAAATGGGACCACGCAGGCCAGTGTAGGCTGTGGGCCCTTTGCTATGCTGCCTCTCTGCCTCTGGAGCACCAATTTTCACATAGTTCACAGAATTCTCAGCGTTGAAAGGGAGCCACAAGGATCATGGAGTCCACCTCTGAAGTGTATGGCCCATACAGGGCTCAAATGCACAACCTTGGTGGTGCTACTGCCATGCTCTAACCAGCTGAGCTAATCTAAGCTGCAGCTCTGCTGGCTGGATGTTTTCGTGTATCTGCATTTTGTCCTCCTGCTGATGGCCAATGCAGTTGTAATCAGCTGTAGTCCCTAAAGGTGTCCTCTGGAATTCAGCATGTCAAAGATCCAGGCTTGAATTTGTTACATGGGATCTGCCTAGCTTCACTGAAAATAAGGAATCTGCCCCATGCATGATGTTCCTATTCACTTAGCATACTTTTGTCCCCTACTCACCTCTTTTCCAGTATTTATTGACTCTTGTTTTTGACTGTGCATCTTCCCACTTCACATCTCTCAGAATGGATGTGTTGTTTTGGCAGGTTCATAGTTTTGTAAGTTTTAAAATAGGATCAGCACTGAAAAGCATGTAAAAATACCGTTTTAACTAAGTAGAATTTAGGATTTATGTTCCTCCTTTTTTTTTTTTTTTCCTTTATATGAAATTTGCAACAAGGTTGTATTATCTTTTTAAGATGAGCTTACTTCTAAGTAAATATACAGCGCAAAATTTTTTTGTCTTTTCTCTCTGATAGCTCCATTTTCCTCAGTTTGATAACTGTGTTAGCATGCTAGTTTTCAATTTTCTAAGGCATCTTTTGAATTTACTCAGAGATATTTTTATGCAGTCTTCCAGCCACAGGTCTTGGTAAAGTCATGTATGGGAGCTATCCTACTGGAACTGAACAGATCACCAGAAATTAAGAGATCAATACATACTTTTTCTTTGAATTTTGCTGTTCTTTTACATGTAAAGTGAAGCAGAAATAGATGCGCTTGTCAAAAAAGTACATGGATTTGTTGGGCATAACTGGAAAGATGAACTCTTAGATGATAGCCCAGCATTTGTGTACAAAACCTGAGGATACTAGTTATGCTTTGTCAAGAGTTGTTTCTGTCACTGTAGATCAAATATTTTTTTTGGTCTCAATTCTTCTTATTCTTAATGTTCTAAAAACACCACACTTCATTCTTTTAAGTTTGAAGCTCTGAGTCAAGGATCCTCTTGATGGGATTACAAATTTCTCTACAGAGGATTCAGAAAATAACACACTCCATGAAATATATACTTAGTGGAGTATGATCTTTGTCTTGCCAGTGTAATTTTCTTTATTTGATATTTTTGTACAGCATTGATACTTCCAAATATACCATAATAAGTAAAAATAATTTGCTTACAGTACGTGGTAGGAGGAGTTATCAGTGCAGAACTTTGTTATTGCCGCAGAAGTTTCCAATCAAGGGGAGATTAATGTGAGAGCAAACAAAAGGAGATTCCTAAACAGTAAAAGTGTCATATTTATAGCTTCTTTAGAAGTAAATATGGTCTAGAAGTAGTTTGGATTTCAGTAATGTATTACCATTCCTTTTTTTATAAAAGATTTTGGTAGTACCATGAAAATAATCATTAATCATAACATACAAGTTAGTCTATTATTTAAAATTGTAGAAGAGAATCAAATTTATATTGATTCTGCACAATACTGACACTGCACAATAAAGAGAATAAGTTTCAACTCTTGGATTTAGGCCCCCTCTTCCCTACCTCTGAGATGCTGTAGACTCATTAGCCACATAGTAATTTCATGAATCTTATTTTAAAGTGAAAATATACACCTATATCCATACTCTGGGTTGTCTTCCAGTAATAAAAGTTTTTATTCCCAGTAGAACCACAGTTGCATCATATCCGCTGATTGTACCTCATTCAGATCTCCCAACCGTTATTTGACATCCCCTGTGGGGAAAGGTTGTGTTATTTTAAAGATGATCTTCCAGAAAAGAAATTAGATAAGGTCCCTTCACATGGGGTCAGTAAAGCTGAAGACCCATTATAGTATCATCACACGAAATGCCTCCTTCCCTAGTGGTACTGTGGTATTACAGTTTTGTGGAATGGGGAAGTTTTTTGTACCATCATGGCTTTAAAAGTTGAAAGTAGGTTGGCTAGGGTTTCTTTTGAGGAGGGCCCCTGAATGACTGAGTCAACAGACTGGGACTCTTGAAGCAGGTCCTGCAAGGGCTTGTCTGTTGTGCCACATCTAAGGTCTGGATTGTGCAGGTACAGATGTTATTTTGCACATCTCTGATCTTAGCTAGGGTTGAAGAAGCACTGTAATGTCTGCAGGCTTGATGAAAAATCACCTAAAATCTTCCACCAATCTTCCATCTAAGTTCTGACTGCTTCCACAGTGTATTTTAGGAACGTGCTCTTATGTGGTATCCTGAGATAATGCATGAAATTTTTGGAATGTGACTGTGGTGCTTGCTTTGAGGAAAATGTGAAAGCAACAAATAACTCCTAAACTTCAAGAAATAATATCAGAAAACTTGGAAATCTAGGGAGAGAAATTGAACCTTAGTTTAGATGGTGCTTCTGATAGTACAAATACAATGAACAGCAGCTCTCAATTGGTGTCACCTTCAGTACTGTCACTTCATCTAAATGCATCCTCCACCCTACAAAGAGTTTGGGCAGTCCTATCATACAAACGGGCACAACTTCTGTCATGGGGCCAGGGGCAGTTTCCATGGTCAGTTGCTTCATTTTGCAAGCACTAATTCAACAGTGTCTGCATGTGAATCCTGTTACAGAAGCTTTCCTGGGGTACATGACTGGAGCAGAGGCTGCAGGCATTTTCGAATAGTGTCTCCTGGGCTGGCAGACCTGCCCCGTGACTTGCTCCTTCCAGAGACCTGAGGGACCTTCAGGAGCAGAAATAGATGGTGGCTTGAATGAATTGTGTTGCGTGTGAGATAGGCACCCCACCATAGATAAATCTGCTTTACTGGTATTTTGCATTGTGAATTCTTTTGCTTCTCAGGAACTGAATGCAGTGTGAGGAAAGATATTAAGCTATTAATGAACATCCAAAGGCGGCCAACGAAAGTGGTGAAGGGCCTTGAGGGGAAGCCGTATGAGGAGCAGCTGAGGTCATGTGGCGTGTTCAACCTGGAGGAGACAGAGGGGAGACCTCATTGCAGTCTATATCTTCCTCGTGAGGGGAAGAGGAGGGGCAGGCACTGATCTCTTCTCTGTGGTGACCAGTGACAGGACCTGACGGAATGGCCTGAAGTTGTGTCAGGAAAGGTTTAGGTTGAATATTACCGAAAGGTTCTTCACCCAGAGGATGGCTGGGCAGTGGAACAGGGTCCCCAGAGAAGTGGTCACAACACCAAGCCTGACAGAGCTCAAGAGGTGTTGGAACAATGCTCTCAGGCACATGGTGTGACTCTTGGGGATGGTCCTGTGAAGGGCTAAGGGTTGGACTCGATAATCCTTGTGGGTTCCTCCCAACTCAGCATATTCTGTGATTCTGTGATTCCGAACCACGTGAATCATTGAGAACAATAACATGGTGTTGGAGACAGGATTCCTACCAAATGACAAATCCTGATTTGCATCTTAGCAAAAACTGAGTAGTTACCAGATAAACCATTTTTTTGTGTTGTGCTGTGTCTTAGTGAATTTTGCTATGCAGTGGTTAAGTCCTGTTGTGGTTTTGACTGGCTGAGTGCATTCTGGAGTTGGGCTGTTTCAGGCTGACTTGTCAGTTTTGTGCAAACCCTACCTGTCTGTCATTTTGGCATGTTCAAAGCAGTGTTGTGAAACTTAGCTCACCTGAGTCAGACTTTTTGTGTTTGGTAGAAAGTGAAGGTGTGGATGTATGCTTTGGGGTTTTTTCTCTCCTTGCTTTATACTGTTTTTCTCTCCTGCTTTGGTGTAGTGTTTGTAAGTTAGAGCTGGTAAATTCTTAAGGTAATTCACAGAGTTAATGAATAAAGCTGTGGATGACTGTATCTTCATTGCATTTGGGCACTTTTGGGTCCTTATATGCAAGGCCAGGTAGTTTGGCTTGCTGGGTTTAACATTGGTAAAAGAAAAGATCCAGTAGTAAGTACAGGTTTCAGGTTATCGAGATACCATGTTGAAATAAGTAGATTGGAATGTCATTTTAGGTTTAATCTGACTATCTTCATGAAGAGCTTAACTTGTGTTACGTGGAGCAGCACAGTTTAGGGTATTGGTTTGATAGCCGTTGCTTGTTGTTGATGGGGTAGGAGAATGTTTTTTTCTTCCCTCTGTCCTCAGGTGACCAGGGAAGGTTAAAAGACCTGGGTGTGTGTTTGTTGACAGAACCACATGATTTGCAAGTATCTTACCTTAAGGTCACCTCACTTGTGTTCTTTATGGCTTCTGATGTTGTGATGTATGGAAGATTAAATCTCTTTTCTGAATAAGCAAATACATTCTTAAACAAGCACATTGTGTCACTGTGATTACTGTATTAGTAATCCAGTAAGGACACAGAACTAAATCAGTACATTCAAAGTACCCAGTGACAAAATTCATTTAAGATAATTGAGTTGAGATTGAGAGGTTGACACTCAAAGTGTATCTGTAGATCTTGTTCAGAGAAGATTTAAGGTGGGGAATTCACTTTTTATCTTTTTATTCTTTATTCACAAGAAATCTTTTTTGTCCTGCCTGAGATCTGAGGATTTCTCTCTTTAGCAACAAATTTTTCTACTGAACAGGAGTTGGTGGAGAAATTATGCATAATGGAAAGTATAAAATAATGTTGCTTTCTGTCCAAACAAGTGTGAATGCGTGACAACCTGTACCGTTTTTTTTTAGAAACTGTTAAAACTGCTATTTCAACATTGCTACGTGTTAGAGAAAAATGTGGAAGAAGTAAAAAATGGTGTGGCCCATTGAAACTAAATAGCTGAGTCTCTTCTGCTCTGTTTGTTGGCACAAGTTCTGTGTTTGTCACTGTTTTTTTAAAGGCTGGACTAAGGTCCCTCATACAGAGTTGCCGTTTTACTCAGACTGGCCTCTGTGTCTCAAATCTTCCCCCTGTTGATCACGCTGCCTTGCATGGAACAATGAAAAACGGGACATGAGGAAGAAAGCATATTGCTGTCTATAAAATTTTCTTCTGTGTGATCTTTTGGTTTAGAGCATCTGGTCATGCTGCTGCAGGGCACACAGCTTTGGGCAGTAAGGTGCCTGTACAAGTTAGCATGTTTTGTTTTTCTTTCAGTAACAGTTGTTACAGCTCCATTGCATGTTTATTAAAAAAACAAGGGTTCTTGTGTTAATTCAGCTGAGTTAAACTGCTTAGGTGATAATCTAAAAATGCAGGAAAAAAGGGGCCTTCCTCATTTAGGATCTTTTGGAAAATGGAATAAAACTTTTCACATTACGGATTTCAGCAAAAATGAGGAAAAAAGATGATGGACTGATTGGGTGGGAAGCATTGCCAGCATGCTCCACTGAGAAGAATTGTTATCTACGGGAAATAAGTTTAATTATGTTTCTTTTTGTTTTTTAAGAGATGAAATTGGATTAATACCCTGCCCTGAAGCCAGGTATAACCGGAGCCCTATTGTCCTGGTAGAAAACAAGCTTGGTGTGGAGAGCTGGTGTGTGAAGTTTCTTTTGCCATATGTCCACAATAAACTTCTCCTCTACAGACAAAGAAAACAATGGCTGAACAAAGATGGTAAGTTACCCAGTTGGAGAATACTATATTATGTGGTTCTTAGTGTGCATTTTTTATGTATCATAGAATCATTTCATTTGGAAAAGACCCTTAAGGTCATCAAGTCCAGCCATAAACCTAACACTGCTAAGTCCACCACTAAATCATGTTCCTAAGTATTTACGTATCTTCTAAAATACCTCCTGGCATGATGACTGCCACTTCTTTAGCCAGCCTGTTCTACTGTTTGACAACACTTTCAGTGAAAAAACTTTTCCTCTTATCCAACCTAAACCTCTCCTGGTGCAGCCTGAGACCATTTTCTCTTGTCCTGTGTCTAGTTGCCTGGGAGAAGAGGCTGACCCCCACCTGGCTACAACCTGCTTTCACATAGTTGTAGAGAAGCGGTAAGGTTCCCCCAAGCCTCCTTTTCTTCAGGCTAAACACCTCCAGCTCCCTCAGCTCTTCTTTATAAGACTTGGGCTACAGACCCTTCACCAGCTCCAGTTGCTTTCTCTGGACTTGCTCCAGCACCTCAGTGTGTCAGTGCCTCGGTCCTGTTGGACACGCTGTTGTGATCCAAGCCAGGGTACCATTGTTTGTCTTGGCCACTTGACCATGCTGCTGGCTCATGTTCAGGCAGTTCTGAACCAACACCCCCATGTCCTTTTCCACCAAGCAGCTTTCCAGCCACTGTTCCCCAAGCCTATAGCTTGGGGAGTTGTAGTGACCCCAGGGCATGACCCATTAGAACCTCATACAGTTGCCCTCAGCCCGTGTCCAGCCTGTCCAGATCCCTCTGCAGAGCCTCCTTACCCTCCAGCAGATCAGCAGTCCCACCGAACTTGGTGTAATCTGCAGACAGACTGAGAGTGCGCTCAGTTGCCTTTTCCAGGTCACTTACCCTTCATAATGCCAGTTCAAGCTGTTTTGGAAGGAATGATTATTACTTAGGAGAAGAGCAGGCTTTGGGTTGTGCATCTTACCAACTTGAACAAGTTGATTTGAAAATATAAATCGTTTCTCTCTTGCCCAAGCTGGAAAGGTTAGAGAGAGACAACTTACTTCAGTGAGTTATTTATGGAAGTGATGTTAATTGATACAGATGGAATTTTCTCCTGCTTTCCTGGGTCAGAAGGAAAACTGTGGTGATACACATACCTGAAATAACAAACAAGTGCAGTGTGTTTCAGATATAGGGGTATCAGAAATCATTAGTCCATATGTCTTGTAATTGTAAAGTTTTATTTCCTTTCTCATCTCTTTGGTTTGATCTGGTTTTTATTTCTTTTCTGTTTGCATGTAACTAATTATCTATAAAGCATTGGTTGTGTCCATAGCTAAAATGTGTGGGACTGTCTTCCCCTCTTGAAGCATACCAAACAGCCCCTATCCACTGTGTTGTGTTGATTGCAGCTATAGCAAAGACAGTCTCCCTGGTTGCTTTATGAAGTAGTGGGTTAAAGAATTTTGTTTAAATAGTGGGATAGTAGACATTTGATGCAGACTGGCATGTAGTCATCATGTAGGCAATGTGTTGTACCATCTCAAACAGATAGGCTTTGAGAGTAGGTCTGTGTAGATCAGAAAAAATGTGTGGTCCGTAAGATCCCGCTCTTGATATAACTGGCATTTGCTTTTCTCTAATATTTTGTTACTGTACTCTGTTTTACTTCAAGTGGATGAAGCCAGCTGTGCACTTATCCTCATTAAACTGTAGTGTAAGGGACAGTCAGATGGTGTAGTTGAGTCTATAAATGTGCACTTGAGCTTCTTTTACATTCAGGGATGATATAGAGAAAGAAGATTGAGGTCTTTAGTGAACCTTTAAATGGATGAATGAACGAAGGGCAGTGAATATTGCCTACTTTTTTTTCCTGAAGGTGGGGGTCTAGATTTATGAAACACTGTAGTTCCTTTTTACAAACACATGGATATAGAATGCAAGCATTTTGAAGAATAACATTAAATGACAGAGAAGGTTGATAATGTAAGTATTATAAATTTTAAAAAAAGGACTTTAATATAGGGAACATAATTAATGTTGAGTATGGCACGTAGCCAGATACAAACTTTAGCATTTAAAAAGTTGAAGCTACTAGCACAGCCAGTCTTAGCAACACCAGTGGTTGTCATTGGCAGTGTTTTTTACAGGGCTGAAATAGGAGTTTGTGATGTTTATTGTAGTCATGCTACCGATGTCCTGTGGGGATACTTCATTTTTGATCTCAATTGTTATGGTAAAGTCTCCATCTGGAAGTTTTCACACAGACAGAAACTTGTTGTTTCAAGCCAAACTACACATGCTGAGATTTGTGGCACATTTTTGGGTGTCTGATGGCCCCTCATAGCCATTATCTAAAGGGCAGCTTGGTGCTGGGGATTGCCACCCTGCTCCAGTCACACCAGTGCAGGCACTCTGTGGTGGTGACACTGTTGCACTTGCTGGTTCTGCCAGGATGGTGGGTGCACCGACTGCTTGAGGAATGTCTTTGCTTCCCTCCCAGATGAAACTTGCAGAACTCTTCCTCTCAAAATGCAGATCTTAAAACTGTGTGGGTGAATACTGCAGTAGCAAGAACTTTAGATTACTGCATGTATTTTGCAACTTTTGAGTTTGTTTTGAAAATGAAACTCCATTCTGCTTTGTCTCTTCTGTTACAAAATTACACAGTTTCAAATGTGTGAGGTGATCTACAGCATTTTCTTGTCTGCTGAGGTTTTGTGTCACCAATGTCAAACACAAATGATCAGGGCCCTCATGTTAATAACATGTTTGTAAGGGAGTTTAGTATGTTTTACAATAATTGACTTTCACATTTGGTAGGAAGTTTTACCAGAAACTGAACTGCAGTGGTGGAGGGAATAAAGGTGGAAGACTTTCCCAGGTGGCCTCAGGGAATTATCTATGAAGTGTCATAAGCAGGTATACCCTATCAAGAGATGTTACTTTTTTCTCTGAAGTATCAGGAATTTTGCTCCAATTTCCTTTTTGTAGACAAAAGTGCATGCCTTGCATTTTGCAGGTAGTTGTTTTCTTTTGAATCTAGTGAAGGAATAGATTTGTTTATTAGTGCTTTAAAACTCAATTGTATGTTCTGTTGATTCTTGTAATAAACAGCGATTGCGAATGTAGTGTGTTGTTACCTCTTCTGTTTTGTTTAAATCATTGTAAGCCATTTAAAATAGAACAGAGGAGAAAAACGGTGCTGATTCAAGTGTCTGCTTTCAGTTGCGGTGTCTGATATTTTCTCGGGCTGGATCCTGGAAAAAGAAAAGTGCTTCGTAGTCATTCACTGAGGGATTACTGTCACAGATGTTTAATTTAGTTACACTTTCTTTTGGATGCTTGGAATCCAAAACCATTACTGCTCCTCCTCTTACTAGTTTCAGTTTAGAAGTCCTAACTTTACAATATGTTTTTATCCTTTCTCTGGTATTTTTAAAATTTATGCAGGCATACTATTTGTATTAACTCAAGATACTTTTCTGAAATTACTACGAACTGCTTCCAGAATGTCTAAAAACCTAGATAGAGCCATATTTAAAAAGTGAGATAAAGCCATATTTTTTTATTTCTCCTTTTGCATCTGGGGAGACTTTAATGTACAAACAGACATGTTCATTCTGAGCACCTGTAATGCTGTACTTTACCTAAAATATATCCAATGGAAAGTACTTTTAAATCATAAATAAAAGATGTTGGGATTTTTTACTGACAGAGGGGGAAGTAGCTGGCAATCACTATCGTTGTATGCCAGGTTTGTCATAAGACTTTTCACTGAAAAGTGGCTCAGAAGTTACTAAATTGTGTCATTTGACATCTCTGGCTCAGAATCCACACTTCATGAATCTTCATCTGTTACTTTTTACAGAAAGCATCAAAGAACATTGACATGAAGGTACTGAGTATTACTTTGAGATTTTCCTTTTGTCTGCATCTTTCCTTTGATAATGTTTAGTGAACTTCTGTAATGGAAAATGGCAAAATGGTAGGCAGCTTCTGTTTAAGTTGAAGGTAAAATTGAAATAGTAGTCAGCAAAACACTTAGTAGATGTTTAATTTTACATATGTGACGAATCCTGGTTTTTTGACTTGGGATATTCAGCTGCATGAAATTAAATTAGTGTTGAAATACTTTGCTGGTTCAGGGATTGGGTAAATCAAAGGAAAATATTTGTACTTCAGGCAGCAAATGAGGAAGAAGCTTTGTGCATATGAGAAATTCATTCCTTGGCAACAAAGAGGCGTTTAAAAAGAAATCTTTCATTAAAGGAAAAAAAAATCTTAAATAAAACCCATGAAGATAGAAAGTTAATTCTTTGAGGCAGTTTTCAAAATACCACAGCTTAATGCAAAATCAACAGCATGCTGAAGAATTCTACACCACACCCCACATCAACGCCCTTCATTGTACGATGGTGTAGCGTGGTACTTGTAAGGAAGAACATCATGGGAAACACAAAATTACTTTGTTGACGTAAATGATCGATCAGTCATACAGTTATACACAAAGTTATTCCACTTTTTGACCCTCTTATATTAACTTTTGTTTCAAAGATACATGAAGTCATGTCCCTCTTTTTTTTTTATTTGCATTAATATATGTTCCATTACTGTTGCATTTCATCACTGACTTTTTCACATTGTATTTTACAGTCACATTAACTGCATTAACCAGAGACCTGGTTCCATGAGATACCATCTTTTTTTTTCCTTCAAGTAATGAAGTGCCTCTTATTTGCTGGAAGTCACCTGAAGTACAGTGATTTTAGTGTGTTAAATGCAGGTTGATTAAGAGAGAATGTAGCCAAACTTAATGGATGGTAAAAGCCTGGATAGTAACATTTGGTTTTAAACTTCTTTTAAACTTGCAAAATTACCATGTAAATGTAAGACTTGTGATTTTAGGACAGGTTGACTGATGTGATGCTGTGCCTTCAGACAGTAGAGGTTAGTGACAGTCCTTGGTATCTCAGGCTTAAGTGGAGATGCCTGATGAATCCCCACTGTTTCCCTAATGGGACCCAAAACCGCTGGAATGGTGCAGTAGAGTGCAAAGGAAAAGGAAGGACTAGGTTACAACAAAATTAGTCTTCCATCCTCAACAACTGTATACCTCAATCTTGTTTTTATGAAATTGTCAAAAATAAGTGTAATATGTAAATCTACAGTATCCAGTGCTTAAATGCAGAGTGGAAAACATGGTTACTTTTTTGATTGTTTTTTTTTAGTGGATTAGACTTAAAACCTCAGTCTGAAGCACTTCATAATGTCTATAAAGTGTTTTTTTGCAGTTTCAAAGTTTTTCTGTGCAGTTTAATAGTGGAGTAATGTTGTAATCCTAATTCATGATTATGGTGTTTAATTTTTCTAGCTACAGGTTTTTTATAGAGTGTGTATTTTTTGTAACAGTATGGTATATGGCAGTCATCTGCAGCTCAGACTTGTACTGAAATAAATAGTAGGGTGTATTTTTAGTTGTACTGTCATATTTAAATTCTTTGGATTTTCTTTGAAGATTCTCTTTTTCGGATATATACAGTGTGTGTGCAATTTAAATTGCCGAATACTCAAGGATTCTATATAATGGTTTTTTCCCTCGCTAAGGGAATACTCAGTTCATTATTTTAAATAATAAAAAGGGAAGATATGGCAGGTTTTACTCCCTCTTAAATTAAGCTATAATTTCTTCTGGAAAAGACAGCAATATTTTACAGAGATGGTCATCTGTAGGTACAGCAGCCCATGGCAGAGAGGCTTGGAGGAATGACAGGGATTAAAGGAAGTGCAGGGGGAACACTGCTGTATGTGAATCATTACTAATCGTGGTGCCTCTTGTTCTGTCATTTTAGAGCTGATAGATATCACGTGTACCCTGCTGCTGCTGAACCCCGACTTCACCACTGCCTGGAATGTGAGGTACGTTGCACTCAGAAAGACCCGGGCCTTATGTGAGCCTTATGTAAGCTTTGTTTTAAGTGGTAATTAGTGACACAACAAGAGCTTGTCAGCTAAGGCTTCTGAAGGAATGTTAAGAGTCTCTTCTATCCTGTATATTGCAAGTAGTTTGGGACTGCCTTTCTTTTTTTTTTTTTTTTGGTAGTGCAGGCCAAAGATTACACTGCTGCGTATGAGGGCACACGTTTGCTCCACATTTTCAGAGTGTGTAAGTCCCATTGAACTTTCAGTCCTCCTTCCTTCTGTCGGGTAATGAGGGACATTTCTAACCTTTAGATGGGCATATCCTTTTTGCTGAATCACACAGTGCCCAACTGATGTCTCCTGTGTGTCTTTTACTCCTGTTCTGAGTCCTTTTGAGATTCTGGTTCAGCTTGCTGCCATTACCAATGCAGCCTGTCAGAGCTGAATAGAGCTCAGTAGATACACTGCAAGAGGAGGGGAGAGGGTGTCTACCCTTTATTTCAGACACGTTCCCCCTGCTTCCTGCTCCTTTCTTGTACCTGCTGGGTTTAGTATAGCTTTACCCTAGGTCACGCTGCAGAACTTCTGGAGCGTGAACAGGAGTCGTTATGGAGAAGAAGCAGGAATTTACCTCCTTGCTCTTCAGGAGGTGTGAACAACAGTTCTTTACAACCCTGTAATTTTATAATTTTTCTGTCAATCTCAGAGTTGGAGGAATATTCTCTTTCTTCTGCCTAGGTAAGACTGGAGACAGTCTTAAAGGTATAGTTTCAGAACTATAGAAGGACTGACAGAAGATTATGGTAGTCTCTAGGAGGGCTCTCATAAAAATAGGACCTGTGTAGTCAAGGTACATTATTGTAGTTGGTGCATTAACAAAATGACCTAGAAAGATAATGGCTGCATTTAGCTGTCAGCCCTAGATATGGTGAATTGAGCTTTTTCTTTTTTCTTTCTTACACTGCTGATGTAGTTCTGAAGGATTCTGCTGTGATCTGTATCTTTCTAGCCTCTCAGGTCTAAGAAAGAGGGGTGAATGTGATGGCAAAGGGCTTACTGTCATGTATAGCTTGAGTAGCTTTCAAGTGATACAAAGGAATTAGGAGCATGTATAATACTAGAGCTATTACAGTAATGTAATCTTACGATACTTATAACTGATTTCAAGGGGTTTTTTTTTAGGTTTTGTGGAAATTTTTTTTGTTACATGTGCATTCATCCTTATCAGTCTGGCTTTTGTTCTGCCTGACAGCTGAAAGAGTTAGCTTTTAGGTGCATAAGAGGAGTAGTTCAAAGTTGTAAATGTAATTAAAAGTAGTAAATGGAATTAAAAATGTTAATATGGAATACAGATGGAATATATATGAGGATTATTTTCTCTTTTATGATGGTTTACTAAAATAAATTACTACAGAAAGCGACGTCACTCCCCAAATTCTGGACCAGTGACCTATCTGGCACTCTGTGTGTGAAGGTCTGTTTAGCATCCAGGGAGAGGCTGTTATGCAAGCCAGGCAGTATCTGTGGAGTTATCAGTGAGCCTGCTCTAGCTAAGGAACTGCTTTGCTGAATCTGACCCTGCATTGCTTCAGGCTGCTGCTGGGAGTTTGCTCTTTTGAAGGGTAGGCGCTTTTGTTATGTTGACATAACATTTCAGCTTCTCTGTGAAATTCCTACTTCAGCAAATTACAAGTCAAACTAGCCAGATGTGTGACATAAACAGTCACAGAGTGGAGGACACACTCTGTTCTGCACAGATGCTGGAGATAAATCCTTATCCTGAGCTAGTATGAGCTGAGACCTAATTGTGTCAAATTTGCACTCTGCTTGCAGAATGTGATGGATCTGTTATGGGATTATTGGTTTCATCTTGCTCAGAGGATGTTTGTCCTACCAAGTTCATTCAACCAAGTCACAAGACTGAAGTGGCTTTGTGGAGGGCAAATGAGCATTTCAGCTTAGCTGACAATCACAGAAAGTTGTATCTGGTTAATGAAGCATAAGAGAACCTATAACTTTAAACATGCTATCTGCTAGGAAGGAGTAGATTGTCTATTTTGAAGCTATTCTAAACAATTGTAATGTACCTACTACGTACGACATAGGCTGGTGTTTTATTTATTTATTTTAGTTAGAAGTAAGTGGGAAGCTGCAGAAAGGCAGGTAGAGACTATAACCTAAACTATGAGAACCGAGCAAGAGGTAATTATGTGGTATAGAAAGGCATGCTAAAGAATAAGAGACATGTCACTTCTTAGAACTGAGAAGAAAACCCCTTTTGTACTGATTGGGCTATGAGATATCTCCAGTTGTTAATCATAGTTTCAGTTATTCTGTGTTTTTAGAAGTTGAAAAGTCTTGCAAATTAAAATGACCAAAATGTTTATGTAAGTGATTGTAAAGGAATTTCATAATTGCTTTTGTTCTTGCTGTTATACTTCCTGTCATGTACAACTGGTCAAAAGTCAGAAGATATTAGGTAACAAGATGCTTTAAAAAGTCAGTGTTTTTACTATGAATTTACTATCAATGGCTTCAAAGGTGTCGCATAAGGCAAGTTAAAATTTCAGATTATCTTTTGTGGAAGCTACAGTCTGTAACACTGAAAAATTATCTATGATCCACCTGGCAAGAAAGGGAGCTAGAAATTACATACCCCAAACTGGATGTTAGCTGAAAGAGCCCTGAAGAGATTTATGTAGGTGTATATGATACTTGTGATTTCAGTCCTTGTGAATGGGAGAATCTCTCATATGAAAATCTTTGGAGATAAAACCAGCTTTTCTAACACAACAGTGAAAGGGAATCTTGTCTGTACTGTTCATCAACTTTGCAAAAGAGGAAATTTACCTTAAAAGTATATAAGTGTGAGCCTTTTTATTTACAGTTAATGCTTTAAAATAGAAAGAGCAATTTCTTCACTGAGAGTTAAGGTTTGGGAAGGTAGGTGGCCTGATAATCTAAATATGGGTTAAGTATGTACATGCATTCAAGTATCAGACTGATCTAAACTGCGTTTTCATTATCTGTGTGGTAAGTTGTTTTTACCAAAATGTCACCTTTTGCAGTGCAATAACGAGGCAGTTGTTCCACCTGCTCCAGTGTTGACATTCCCTGAATCTTTCTCTTGCCTGCTTTCCAAAAGTCAGTGCATTGGCACAGAACGGTCTGGTCAGTCTGCCACTTCTGGCTGGTATACCTGGAGAACCAGCTAAAACATCCAATCTGGAGCATGCTGGAACTTGGGTTCAGTTAAAAACAAATGACCCAGTAGCTATGTTTCTGATCTCTTCAGGTAGTTCTCTGCAGTCATTAGACTTCACTAGCTATCAGAAGCAAAACTTCATTAAGGATTTATACATTTCACCGCTTTTCTTCAATTGTAAATAATATTTGCTCACTGCCAGAGTTGCTTTGACCCTGGGTATACAGTTCAGTTAAAGCAACACAAAGCCAGAGTACCAGATGGAGTCAGTTTCTTACTGAAAACTACCAAAACAGACAGAAAAGGACATAAGTACTCATAGGAAAGAAATATGTCAACTTTTTTGTGCGACTAAGGGCATAACTTTAGGACCACATTATATGTTCTGTGTAAGACTGCAGAGAAGTTTTACCTTCTTACTAGTTAGCAGATCTTTTCTGTCTCCTTGGGTTTTTTTGGTCAGAAGGTTGATCATCTGCTTCTTCCTTAATAGTGTCCCGCTTGCTGAACCTGGTGTCATGCCTAATGTTATGAATCATAAATTATAAAATAAAACCAAACCAAACTCAAATGCATGCCAACATTTCTTCTGCTTCTTGCGCTCTGTTATTCTTATGACATCTGTAGGTTTGGGGAAATGTGTGTTTTTTTGTGCAGATGGTAACTTTGTAACTTCCTGTATCTTTACTTCAAAGCTGCTACCCACTAGATTGGAGAACAGGATATGAAGACTTGTGTCCTTGGAGGAACCAGTGATGGGGTGATGCCTACAAACATGGTCAGGACAGGCAATAAGAGTTTTAAAGCTAGAAGGAAGAGAGTGAGGGACAGGGAATTCTGTGCAACGAAGAAGGATTTTGTGAGAGGGCCAAGTACGGACTTTCATTTTGCTCTGTGTTCGAGGTGCTCTGGGAAGGGTTGTGTTGGATGAGCATTGTTTTGTCAGGGCAAATTCTTTTTTTTTTTTTTTTTAACCAAAAGTTGTTTTACACTTAAGTAAACTTAGTAATTTCGACCTTTTTATTAAGTTTGAAAAATATTCTACGCACAGAGAATATTTTCTCCCTCTTTCTAAATTAAGGGAACCTTGATATTGCATCTTGAGCAGCATTTAAAAACTGAAAGTAAGTGTTAGGGAGTGCTTAGTGTAACAGTATTTTTAGATATACATAATGAACAGTATTTTTAGATGTACATAATGATCTTAGGGCTCAATTTTGAGGAGAAATGTTTATTCATATATGTAACCCTATTGGCTGTTGACTCAGTGATTTCTGGGTAGGTTTGAGAACCAATGGGTTGTACATGTTCAGATTAAGACAAAGTTCTTCCATCTGGATTTATTTTATTGGGCCTGACGAATAGTGTGCATGTATGTATTACACAGTGGAACAGGTGAATCCACCAAAGGGTTTTTAAACTCTTGTAGTTTGACAGTGAAGTTCAGTTCTGATACAAAGGAAATGCCATGCCATTTTTTACTGGAATTTGTGTTCTGTTTCCAGGTTACCACTTTTATTCATACAGATTTATTTTATCTTTTGTAGGAAAGAATTAATACTGTCTGGCACTTTAAATCCACTTAAAGATTTGCATCTTGGAAAACTGGCGTTAACCAAGTTTCCAAAGAGTCCAGAAACATGGATTCATAGGTTTGTTTCCCCTGCCTTTTATTGACTCCTTAAAACCATTTTTCCTAGGATTTTTTTGTTTCCAGTTCTTGGGTTAAGAAGAGCCATAGGTGAAGGAAGACATCTAGCAATATAGCTGAATCTTTGATATAGTCATTGTGGAATACTGTGCTTTGGCTTTTGAAGCTACCTGCCTATATTTTACCCTTAGAACTGGAATCATATACACCTTTTTGCTGCATACTTTTTAATAAACTTGGGGTGGGAGGGATAAGTTTTCCTAAAGGTTTGTCATGTCTTGCAGCACCTAAAATCTCAACCTGAAAATTCCGATGCCATCGATAGTAAGTATTTGAGCACTGTAGGTTTCTCCCTCTTTCCCTCCACCTTACTACTATATTGTGGTCTACAGGCATTCCAGAAAGAGAAGAATCTGTAACAGCTAATCTTTATAACCAAAGCTGAGTTCTTTTCATTTCAATACTGGTCTTTTTGGTTTGGTGAATTTATTTTTACCACTTCTAATGTAAGCAAAGTCATTAAGCCACTACTAATAAATACTGTAATAACAGATCACACATTTGGATAAGATAGCTCCAGAATTACATAAATGTACAAAGCTAATTATCTCAGTCATGACTGAGCATTCATAAAATGCCTGTATCCCAGCCAAGTGAAGTACAGATCCACTGCTCAACTTTGTTTAAAAACAAAATAAATTTTGGTATATGTGTGATCTTCATTCATTCTGCCAATAAAAGGATAACTCATCCTTTTATAGACACCTTAAAGAGAGTTGAAGGTAGCAGGTTAGGAAGCAGTTTGCAATGTGTACATTTAACATGTCCAGCATTAGGACAACTGTAAAGTTGATACCATATTAGGGGACTCGTACTCTATAAAAAAACTAAATCAATTTCTGTGGCACTGATTTTTAATTTTGTCATTCAACTGCTCTTCGTCATCGTCATGCTACTGACTCATGCTGCTTGATGGCTTTAAAGAAAAAGCGTGTAGTGATAATGGGAAAAAATGTTGCAGTTTGTCATAGTTTAACCTTTTGTACATGGTAACAAACACTAGAAAAATATGTGGGTTTTTTGCATTTCAATAGTTCTGAACCTGGTGTCATTCATAATTTTATGAAGAACAACAAGTTTTTATGAAATTAGAATGTTAGGCTCTTTTTATTTATTTTTTTATGTCTTAGAAATAGTAAAAAATTCTGTCTATAACTTCCATGCAATCTCAAATTATGAGTATTTTAATAGTGTCATATTTTATTGTTCTTTCTCTTATTTGCCTGCATTAGAAAATCGTATTTCAGTATGATAGTACAAATATTTGGCTTGTATTTGGATATGCTGACCATGATTGATACATTTAAGATTATTCTTGGGTTTTCTGTTCCCCCATGGTACCAAATCTCAAGACAGAAATGCAAAAAAATAGAATGGGGCTATTAATAAAATTCAATAAAACATATTGTTTTTTCTTACACATGGCAAGTAGACTCACTAAACATATAAAAATACCAGTTATTAATTTTGCCAGATGACCTTCTGCTATATGTTTTGGGGAGTTCAGACAGATCTTGTACATATACAGTCAGTACATCTATTGATTGTGCAGTAGTCGCTTAATAATCCTTTGTTCATTTGTGGTAATTCCAGGAACCATAACAGTAATAGGAACATGCAAAAGTGACAGTGACTCCAAATTAATTAGAGGCAATTTATCTTAAAAACCTCCAAAATAATACCATGATATTTAGCAGTTTGCAAAAATACATTTTAAATTTTTGGAAGTTCTGATTGCCTTGTCTAGAAAGTAGTTCAAATTTCATTTTGTATTTTTTAAGGTTGCAGCCACAGAGACTATAATATCTGTATTTTTTCACTCTCTCCTCTATTTATAATTTATCAGAATTCCTTATCTTATGAAACAATTTTAAGAAATTTTAAGAAACTGAAATAATCATAGGCTTGAAATACTTGTCTTTTTATTATTTTACTCAGAAGTCACTGTTAATGAAATGATACACATTTTTTGTTAAAGAATGGCTGTCTGCTCATTTAGTTTTTGTGCCTGGACAATATTCCAGTTTCCCATTTCTTGCAAATATGTGGATTGAAGTGAAAAAATCCTTAAAGGTGATGTTTGGATCAAAGAAATTTTTAATATTTTTAATAATATTTCATAATTTCATGTATGACTGGCAAAACAGAATTCACTCTTTAAGAAAAATGAATTTTTATTTTTCTTTTAGTTATTGATTTCTTTTAACCAGGAGTGACAGTTTTTTGAAAGTTGCAATTAATTGATCTTGGAACCGTTTTGAGCCAGTACAAGACAGAAATACCTCTGTGTAGCAGACAACAGGATGTCCAGCTTTCCAGAGCATTCAGCTTGGGGCCATTGGAATTCTGTTGGCATGTGCTGTTCTGTGGAAATTTACACATCTGTGGTCTGGTTTTGTAGGACCCTTTTGAGTAGGGGCTGTAGATGCATGGCTTATACAGCATTGAGGTTGCCTGTAAAAATACTACTAAAAGTCAGTCCAGAGTAAATTAAAAAAAAAAAAATCTAGACTTTTGTACTTATCTCAGTCACATGAAATCAAATATGTGTAATTCATCAATTAAAAAAATTTGTTTTGCTTATACCTATAGCCCTTCAAACTGTAAGCATTTTGCACTTTGTTACTGCTGGTGGTGTACAGAAACCAATTTGACTTGCTGTGTGCAGTACTGTCAGATATAAAAGATGTCGACAAAACAGTTAATTTTTTGTTGAATGACTTTTTTCTATCTCTTGATGGATATTTCATGTTAGTGCTGTGCAAGACTTTGAAAGAGGAGCTCATGAGAAATCCCATGTGCACAGTGTGCATTTTTTGGTAAATTTCCATTTCCTTGTGGTTTTCTTTTCTGTATGCTGTAAGTAGCCATGACAACTTAGAGTGAGCAAACTGATACAGCTAGAGTTAAATATGTTGGGGGGTGATCATAATGTCATAGTTGCAGTATGGGAAGCATTCAAATGGTTATGTTCACTGCTTATTCTTATCTAGCTAGAGTGTAGTTCAGATAATTGAGGTATTGGAAGATTTGATTTATATAAATGAAAACCTTTTTTTTTTCCTCTTAAAATTGCTCTCTCACCATTAACACCTCACGTTGTTTAACCAGACGATGGGTGCTGCAACAACTAATGCAGGAAAACTCTGTGCCAAGTCTTGCAACTAAAGGAAACTTGGGAGCAGCACCTGTGGAGAGAATTCACCGACTAGTGCAGGAGGAAATGAACGTCTGCTCTGAAGCTGCTGGGAGATATCCAAGCAACTACAATGCCTGGTCGCATCGCATCTGGGTTCTACAGCATTTGGCAAAGCTGACTGTCAAGGTATAATACAATAGGGAATAAAGTCTTTAATTTTCTTGGCCAAAAAAATAAATACTGTTTTGCTAAGCAGAAGATAGAAATATGTTCGTAAGACACAAAGTAATTTTTCTTGTAGACATCCCTAGCAAGGCCTTGGCTGTTTCTTAAATGACTGGGCCTCCAGAGGTACTTGTCTTCTGTGCAGGTGGACGTTGCCATATTTATCTGGTTATCCTTGAAAGCTTTCATCCCCAGGTGCAATTCCTTATCATTTCCCTGGTACCCCAGAGCAGGGAGGAAGTTTTGAGGTGTTTATGGTTGGATAAGCACTTTAAAACAAGCAAACACAGGGTCAGGGAGGGTGTAGGAGAGAGTGCAGACCCAGAGGTTGAGACAAAGGTCACTGAGCACATATGTCTAATTCTGGAGGAGGATGCCAGTTCCATGGTACTCAGCTCACCTCTGAAGATAGAAGACAGCCCTTTGTGAGAGGCTGTCAAGAGTGGAAAGGGAGGTATTTTCATACAGTTTCCTCTTTACTTCACAGAACAATAGCAAAGAGCTTGTTCTGTTCAGTGTGAAAATGGAGAAAACTGGCTTGGTAAGAAAGAACCTCTGTTGGAATTCAGATGTTAGCTGCCTTTTTAGTTTACTTCCAGTTGTTTGAAGCATCTTCCACTGTTACTCTAGGTGAGAGGCTTTGGTTTTCTGTAGATCTAAAGACGTTTTAATGACAATCTTCTGTATTACTTTTTTTAAAGAGATTTTCTAGTTCAGGTAAGTAGTGATCCTTGAATCACTTTGTTCCCTTTTTACAGGAAGTTAAAATGCAATTTACTGATTAAGATGTTCCCATGTACTTTTGCAGTTTATAAATATGTCAGATAATTTAATTAGATTATTCCAAGATCTAGGCTGGACATGATGTGCGGAGTATCAATTCTTGCTGAATAAAGGCTGGTCTGATTTTGCTGAGCCTCATGCTATTCTTAATAGACAATTTCGAAGTTCAGAAGTTGAAAACAGTAAGCTCAGTTCCACTGAGAATGGAGAAGCTGATCTTATGGTTTAAAGTGCAGAACTGGAGATGGAGAGGTTTAGTCCTATTAAGAATTGTGTGTGTGGGCTGTTATGTAATACTGCACTTTAGTTTACTGATCTGTCAAAGGAAGGCAATGCTGTTATCTCTTGTCAAGACAGAAAAAACCACCTTGTGTGTCTTAGGTAAAAGGCACCGTTTACACTGTTTGCATTTGCTCTGATTTCTTTTAGGACTGATGCACCACGAAAAGGCGTATAACTAACCTTGCGTGTTTCCGTGGTTTTCTTTGCGGGACGCTGTGCCTTTTGTGCTGCAGGAGTAAAAAGAAAGACTTCTCCCTGTGAAAGTTGCTTTGCATCAGCTGGTCCTGTTGAGTGATGTAGGTAGCTTAGGAGAAAAGATTAAAAGCAAGAGTATACCAGTAAGATTCTATTCAAAGTCTTTAGAAGTAAAAGGTAGTTTTGGTCTCTTTACAGAGTTTAAACTTTGTAGGAGGAGCAATGTGAGGAAAGAAGAAAAGGCCTGTAAAAAATTAAACCACTAGTTCTAATAGAGAAAATAAAAGAAGCCTTGTCTGGTAGCCAAACTTACATGTCTCTCCAGAAATTAATTTTGAATGTTTAAAAGCATTTAGAATTAAGGGAAAATTCTTTTTTCCAGAAGTAATATAAACAGAGCTACAGTCAGCAATGTAAGTATTTACCACAGTTATTGTGAAACCCTTTCTAGAGGTTTATCAATTACCAAGTCAAGCAACCTGATTATGGACAAATAGTTTTGTATTCCACAGGCTCTAGGACTTGAAACATAATGTTATTGGTTGACATTCTTTCCTGGAAAATAAAGGTGTAAATTAATTTAAGGTGTTTTTTTTCCCTTCTTTTTAAGTAACTCACCCACCCTCTGACATCCGCAATACACTAGGCAAAAAGTAAAATTTTTATAACTAGTATCTGTTATTTTATAACTAATATCAGTAGTTTGGTGTATTACCTCTGTCTTCTCTATTTATTCCTAACCATTTTGAAATTCTCAAACCCCTGCTTATTTCTTATCATAAGTAGTTTGGGGGTTTCTCTACATCAGCCTGGGGGAAGGTTTCTGAGAAACCTACCTTTTCAGAGTGTGAAAGGAGTATTAATTTCTTTTCTGCAGGGATGCAGAAACAGTGGTGGTAAGTTCCTTCTCTATACTGGTTGGTAACTGTCCCTGCTTTTTGTTTCAGGTTCTCCTCGATGAACTTTCATCCACTAAATATTGGGTATCCATGCATGTCTCAGACCATAGTGGATTTCATTATCGCCAGTTCTTACTCAATTCCTTGATAGGCAGAACTGTGACTGACAGTAACGTACTGGTAAATGAACAAAGCCCTAACCTTCAGAAGGAGGAGGAGTGTGCAGGGACAGAAGCTGCTTGTGCAGAGGAGCAGAGTGTGGATCTTCCCCGCCGTTTAGAGGAAGAGATGGAGCTCTGCACTGAACTGATTGATAATTACCCAGGACATGAAACCTTGTGGTGTCATAGGTAAGAGGACTCGGTCAAAAGAGTTTCCTTCTGATTTGAGGATTGTTCTTTGCTTGATATTTCCAAACGAATCGTTGTTCTGATTTTTAAAAGTACCAGTCAACAAAAATTTTTAAGCTACCATGTCTTAAGCTTTTGGAAAACATTCAAGAGCGTAATCAGAACTATTGCATGGAAAGATTGATTTGGTTTAAGTATCTTGTAGATTTAGGTTCTGCTTATCACTGTAGTTTGTGCAAGAGACAGAAGATACTGTTAGGAGCATCCTCACACTTAAAATGTTTAAAGGACAAAAGATGAGCAAAAGGTAGGCAGAAGATAGAGTAGCTGCACTTCTGATTTACTAGCTGACTACTTACCTGACTAGGTAACAGCAAATTTACCAGAGTGACATTGAGCTCTTTTCGTGAGCAGTGACAGCAGATTCTGTCTGTGAGGGAATCTGGTGGGATGGCAAGTGAATTGAAGCAGTTCAGCAGCAACAGCGCGTTATTTTCAGTGCATGACTTTTTTCTTCTTTCTTCTTTCCTTTTCCTTTGAAGAAGGTGTGTGTTCTACCTTCAGCAGCACCTAAGCAACAAATTTCCTCTTCTGAGTGCAGTGGTATCATCTGCGGACAGCACTGATGAGACTCTGAATAATTCCCACCACAGTCCTGCAACAAGTCACGTGGCTCAAGCTATGGATGTTGATGGTTTGAATGAATCCAGCAGCAAACAAGGTTATACACAAGAAACAAAACGCCTGAAGCGTGCTCCTATGCAGGACTCTCTTGGCCCAGAAATGGAATACCAGTTCATTGATAAAGTATTATCAACTTGTAGGGATGTGGACCAAGCCAGGTTTGCTACTGCTTATAGGAAATGGTTAGTTACATTTTTAGGTCAGTGAAGGAAGTATTTAAAGCTTTCAGGGTTCTTTTCTTAGTGCAATATTCTCTTTTCAGACACAAATGCATGTCTTGGTTGCAAGTGTTAGCCAGCCCTGTGTTTCTCTCTCTTTTGATGGTCAGTCCTAAAGTACAAATTCAGAGTAGAAGTCTGTCACTTTCTTGAAGAACTGGCATACCTTTTTATTTAACAAATGCAGTTTGTTCCTTAATCTTTTTAAAAAATCACTCTGTCAGCTTCCTACCATGACATTTTCTTACTTTTTACTTCTGTGTTAACTCTGAATCATTAGACTTTTCTAAAAAAACAAAAGAGGTAAAAGAAGAAAAGTCTGAAATGCTTGCGAAACAGTGTCTGAAAAAAGGATGGGAAAAATCTGTCAGTAACAGCTAAACCTGTTTCCAGGTTTTTCCTCTTTACTATGTGGCATCATGCTAACACCTTATTGGATCCAAACTGTATTCGGTGAGTGCTATTATTTTTGTATTAGCAACCTTTGGTAGAACACCAGACTGAAGTGTTTCTTTCTGAAGGCTCCAGTAACAATACTGGAGCCATCATGCCTTTTACTGTTTTAACTGGGGTTTTGTTTGCTTATTTGTTGTCACGTTAGCTTGATGGGGAAGTCTATGAAGTTGAAATCCCGACACAAGAAAACGTGACAGAAAATAGTTCAAACACACCTTCACACACTTAGTCAGAACTGTATTTGGAAATACTGTTCTTAAAATAGACTACCTTCACTTCTTATTTGGTGTTTATTTATTTTAATCTCAACAATCCAGAATTTAATCACACTTGATAACGTTTCTGAATGTATTATCTTCACTACAGGATCTCAGCCTCCTAAGTCACACTTTGGTGATTGTACTTTACCAAGACTGTACAAGGCCAATATTTGATGGAGTAAAAATTAACTCTTCTGACTGGTTGTTGAGACTATACAGTTCAAAAAAAAAAAGAAGTGACAGCAGAAGGGAGCTCTCTCTTCCCTTTTGTTCCTTTGGGGTTTTTTTATCTTCTTTTCTTTAAGAGCTCTTCAACCATACATCTCTGTTTACATAACTGTAAATTTGAAGGGAATTTGAAACTAAATTTGAGTTGTGTATTTTGTCATTTCCTTAGAACTTGTCTGTGTAAGGGATTTTTTACAGTAGTAGAATTGTGCTAATCCAAAGACCCCAGGGGAAACATTCTACAGCTGTAGAAGTCTGTATGATGACAACATGGCCTCTTTTAAAATCAGTCTATTCACTGAGGGGATTAAATTTTCAAGTTAGTATATCTCCTGGCCAAAGTGCCTCTTGACCGTGATAAATTTCAAGATGCTGTTTCTGTTGCGCAGAGAGAGAAACAATGAGGGAGGAAAAACACAGGTAACCTGCTCAAAAGGTATCATTTCAAATGAAAAAAAAAAGGCACTTAAAAATATGAAGTTCCAGCACTTCTGAATAGTTTGATGAATGGGGTTTACTCTTGCATTTCAGAATGGAAACAGACCACCTGTAATCTTTGAGAGTATATTCGTGAGGCATTTCAGGCACAGAGTAGCTAACAAAGATGTTTCTAAATCTATACACTTAACTGTTCTGTTTACAGTACCTAGATAAGACTGATCTAGGCTTGAGCATCTCCATGTCGAAGTTTTGTCTCAGAGGGCATCCACACCTGCCTCTCCATAGCTAGGGATGTTTGGTCATTTGTTTTGAGGTGCTCTGGGATGCCTTGGTTGATGGTTGTAGTTGCAGAAGAACATAATTGTTTTCTGAAGGAGGTGTGGGAATGGGTTGAGAGGATAATTTTGTCATAAGATGTTGCCTCTGTGATCACTAATAAATGGGTAGGTTCAGGTATAAATGGAGTCTGAACTTAAAGAACTTAACTTGAGCAGGAACTTTTACCTGTCTCAGAGGACCTGATATTTCTTGACTATGGATGATATATTAAAGTATCTATGGTAGCCTGGGTCAGCTTGATGAACAATATCCCACTCATTAACAGTATCCCATTAATGACAAGTGCGAACCTGAAAAGTGTGAAATTAAGTATTAAGGATCATACTCTTGGTCCTAGGCTACTTAGTAACGTAGTTGTGTGTTCTTTTTGCCTTGGCAAAAATTACCTATTCACGAGAAAAATACTAGTGGTAGGAGCAGCCTCAGAAGTAGGAACATGATAAGAAATATTTCTTGAACTGTGGAAAGGAAGTGATGCTCTCTTCTTGCACTGGAATGATTGAGGCTTTTAGAGGAAAATACTAACATTAGAATCTGACTTGAAACCTATTATATACTTCTTCCAGACTATAATCTAGACTCTTAGTTAGCCTTCTTAGAGCTGTACTGTGAAAGTTCTGTGCTACTGAATTTGACAATCTTTCCACCATAAACGTTTAAACAGGTGCTCTCATAATACATGTGTAAGTTCCTATTCATGTCAGCACGAGGTATGCATACTCATAGGAAGACAGGACTTGGTCCTATGTAACTGAACAGAGTTGCATTGAATGTTAATACTTGGAAAAAGTCCTGAGTACTCTGATTAGAGATGGTGCTGATATTTTTATTACTTTTACAAAACACTGATGGCTGTAGTATAACTCTAAAGAGTGGATTTTTAAAGTCTGCACCTGGTGGGAATACTCCCCCACACTTTTTTTTTTTTTTAATTTTAAATACAGTAAGAATAGTTACATTTAGAAATGTTTGCAGACCAGACTTTGCCACACAGAAAACGAAACAGTAACTAACAGTGAAATTGAAACAAATCATATTTTTTTGTTTTGAAAGAAATGCAAATAATGAACTGTTGAATTTAAGCTTTAATTTTCTCATGGTAGCAATATAAATTATACGAAAGGAGAAAATAATATCTAAATTCTTCAAGCTGTCAATGTCCCGAAGGCTCATACATGAAATAATTTAAGAGATACTTGTAACAAACTGCATTAAGCTCAGAACTGATCTTTGCAGCATACCTATCTGGCCATTCCGCGGTACTGCAGAGTCCCATTTGGGCACTGCTTGAAAAAAAAGAGAAGTGGCTTCAGGCCATTGGTAGTTCACCCATATAAAGGTTACTGAGTACGCTTTCTTCAAGTAAGGTGTATCAGCTGTTTTGTGTTTTGGAGATCAGAGACTAAAAACGTAGTCAGTGAACAATCTTGGGGAGAAAATGTCCCACAAAAGCTGCAGAACGGAAGGCTCTCACTCTCTGAAGTTCCCTCAAGCATAAAATCAAACTTTGCACATCTGTAAACATCTTCATGTAATGTTCAGCATCTTTCCTGATTTTGTCTTATGCTGTAGTATGTGTCATTTGAGTTGATGCAGGCTGGTTTTGTTCACTGGATTAGTCTTTGTAGAAATTTGTGTGCACTAGAAACAAAGCGGTTTGAGGAACAAATGTAATTTAAAACTACAGAGATTGGAATAGAAGGAATCACATTTTTAAGGGGTTGAATTCTGAGCTGCTAAATACATTAACTGTTATTTCAATGATGTTTGGTTTGTCTTCTGTGTTAAAGTCACTGGAGAAACACGTGCAGCATGAAAGATAGCTACGATAATAAACCTGTATGATGTTATTGGAACGTATTGCTATAGCTGCACTGAGTAATATTTGTTAATCTACTCAGTCTGCATATTTGTGTTTTAATTACTTCTTATATATTTATACAACAAAATTCATATGTCATCTAAATAGGGGATAAGGTAAACTGTCGGTTTATACTATTTGATTAATTACCTTATATGTACTTTGCTTTAGGACAAATAAGCAAAGTGGTAATATAGATAGAAAGCTTAGATTTTTGTCTTACAATCAAAATTTCTGGCATTTCCAATTTTGTGTTAGTGCTGCTTAATTAAAATGTGTAGCTAGACTTTATGGATGGGGGTGAGGTTTTTTTCCTAAATAGATAATTAATGAATTTTTAAAACAGTACTGTATAATATTGATTAATAGAAACAAAGGTTTTGGAAAGGTTTGTCTGCATAGCCAGACTCAACAAGCGTACTCTTTCAGAATAACGTGAGCAAAGTGTGACTACCAGAGATATCATTTAAGTTGTGAGTCTTTAGAGATTTATTATTTAATTTTTGGACAATGTCGTTTGCTTAGTTTTATTTTTCGTTCTGTGAAGAAAGTGCTGTTTGGGCTTTTTTTTTACAGTCTAGTCGGACATGAACCATTGCTCTTACGGTGTGGGGGAAAACGCCCACGACTGCTGAATTGTATCTTGTAGAGCAATTTTGGAAAAAGCAGTGAAGTGAAACATAGATGTGACTTCTAAATGCATCTTTGTCTTGTACTCTTGTATTTACAATTAGATCTTACTGTTTTATCAGTGTCAGATACAAAGGAAAGGGTGTAACTTGCCTATTCTCAAATGCACTTAATGTTCAAATTAGTTTCAAAGGAAGTTCAGTGTCCCTGTCTAAGATAATTTTCCTTGTTTTTCCCCATATGCTCATAGATATGTTTTCTTCTCAACTTCTTCTCTGTTCTTCCAAGCAGCAAAGAAGAATGTAGCAAAGCATTGGTGAGGTGGCCTAATTTTGTGTTTATATAACTCTGTCTACCTCCCAAGAAGTACTTTGACTGATGTCCTTAAGTGGAGTTCATCAGGCTCAGTTTTTTCAGAACCTCATGCTAGGCCTATATTCTCTTTCAGATGTGAAAAGCAAAAGTTTTTTGAAGCCATCTAGTTTCCCAGGGAGAGTTTGAAGGAGAAAAGATAAAAAGATCATGTACTTAAAGTTGGAAAACCTAGAATTAGCATAAATTTTCATTAGTCTTTTCCTCTGAAGAAGCAAAGTATTGCTAAAAATTGGAGGAAATAAGTGCTTCCAGGGAATTCATTGTATTACTCTTTTGAATTACAGACCTGACACTTCCTAGTGGCTTTTAGTTAGTGTGTAATTTTACTTCTCAGGGCACAGTCTATTGTAGTGAATTAGAGTACATTTTTACTGTTTAGGATTATTGATTTTTAAAAAAAGAAAGCTAAACATGTAATAACTGGCTTTTATTTATTTTTTTTTTGTCTAGCGTAGTAGACGCTTTCCATTTTCCCTGCATCATACTGTTATTCTCTATCTTAAACTGCTGTTGTAGCCTTGCAGGGAGCTCCTGACAACTGCTGGATTTCCTCTCTGAGTTCCCTAGTACTATTCAGTAGAATAGTCAGTATCTCAAAGATGTATGTTGAAATGGTGGAGAAGTGTTTAGCAGTATCTGTGTTGATGCACCATATATCTTAGATTTAATATTTTATGATCTTTTGTTAGGATTATGAATGCTAGAACTGCAAAAGCTTTTTTAATAGCTGCCAGACTCTTATGTACAGCAGAGTTATTCTGACAAGCAGAACTCTTAACTGAAGTCTAGTTTGTTAAACATCTTTATCTGCACCATCTGGAACCTGCTGTAAATCCTATTGTATAAACAGAGGTGGGAAGATCCCACAGTGAGGTGTGTGTTTTGTTCACGGGACATTTTCTTAACAGAATATAACTATGATGAAACAAAAAACTTTTCTTGGATGAGGTACACGTGTATGTTCATTATGAGTAAAGTTATGAAATTGGTACATCGTTAATACAGTAAGATTTCCTGAATGCTGTTTATAATGAATAGATAAGGGCATTGGGCTTTTTTCTTAACAGAGTATTTATTACCTGTTATTTTAAAAAGTGATGTAAATGATACAAGGTACCAGAATTTGTTTTTAGAAGGCAAAATATATTTATACCTGCTGTGTTTATTCCCTTTTGTAGCATTTTTTGTTTTTTGAAATGGATGCATTTAAAACTGGGTAGTCATCTTGAAAAGTGTGCTTGAGAATGTCCTCTTTCATATAATTGAAATAATAGATGTCTTAAGTAGTTGTAAGTAGTATTAAGATCCAAGCTTGTGACAGCACTACAGTGTTCAAGTGAGCCATTCAACACTAATTTTGTAATACTGTCATGTTCATCAAAGTACTATTCTATTTAGGAAAATGCTTATTTTATCAAGATGTGTGCAAAAATATTTAACTCTCACAACTTTCTTATTAAGGGGATATACACCTAGTTTTAAACATAAAATTTTGCAATATTTTTTCTATGAAAAATTCTCAGATGCACGGTGGTGGCCATTGTAAATCTTATGTAGATTTCCAAGATAAATTAGAGAAATGGTAAATTTTGTAGCAGAAAGAATAAAATTATGACAGGACAATAAGACACTGGAAAGTAATCTTCTAAATGACCAGTGTTCTACAGGATAGTGAATGTAAAACATTAACTTTGTTTTTCACTGGTCTTACTTTGTCATAGGATGAATTCCTGTCAGATGGGGATTGTTTTCTTTCTTTTGTAATCAGTAGAGAGCTTATTTGTGAATAAATTATCTATATTTATTCTCCCACAATAAGTGTGCATGTATGTGTGAATGAATGAATGGCGGAACTGTATTTATGGCCTGTGAAAACTGCAAAAATCTCCCACATTAGGCTATTTTTATACAGCACTGGTGACCTGCAACCAGACTCTTCCGTGAAGGATCTGTTCTAAGTCTGAATCTAGCAGGATCAGTGCCAGGCTGTTTGCTGAAAGCAACGAGATCTCTTGCTTCCCCTCTCTGTCTTACTCTGCCTAATTTTCATGATACTTGGACAAATGTGTGCACACACCAAACAAATCATTAGTGGTGGTGTAGGAAGCGTGTGAGACTGTGAAAGAGTTTGTAAGGTCTCGCAATCTGGGATGACTAGGGAGTGGTCAGCCAATGACCTTCCTGGGGGGAAACCGTCCAGGAGTTCTCCAGGAAGGAAATGGATAGGCCAGTTTTGGATGAAATGCTTTAGCATCACGGGAGGCTGAGAAAACTATGTCAGATACAAACTAGCAACTTGAATTGGTATTTGAATACAAACAAGTAGTCTTTTTGGTACTAAATTTTCAGTATTTTTCTCATGTTCTTTTTATAAAAATAAATCACATCGAAAATATTTTCAGAATTACTCTTCATTTTGGATGCCTTCCAATTTTGAGTTACTGGATTTGAGAGATTTCCTTAAAGGGATCAATTTTATTGGAAAATAAAGCACCTTTCTTCTCTCCTCCTAGGCAATGTGATTCATTCCAAAATATGATTCATTCTAAAATGAGCACCTAAAATCACGGGGCATAGCTGAAGGTATTGCTTGTCATTCTAAATGCAAAGTTTAAAAAAGGAAGGAGATGTTTTACATTTTTTTTCCCTCTTATTACCTGCTAGGTAGAAGGAGTATGTAAGGAAGCCCTGAGTTGATAAGTACAATCTTTTACTTAATTTGGATGTCCATTAAATCAGAAAGCTTAAAGCAAATAATAAACCCTCCAGTTTATTTTGTAGGATCTGGTTATTAGTTTGTTTTTAATCTGAACACTTTATTTTTACATCTGTTAGTGTGAATGACGAGACTCTCACTAACTTCATTGACTTAGTATCAGGCCATGCTGTGGTGGGGGTGTCAGCCACTACCTGATAGCCAGGACATATTTAGTGTGATGAATTTTAAGTGACTTCTTTGTCTTTCACAAATACTCATATTAATGGCTTCAGTGAAAAAAAGAACAGGTAGGGTAGTGTAAGCTCATTAGCACTGTGGAAAAGAAGCTGTTAAGGCTATGGAATGTTTTAGGTTTAAAAGGGCAGCTAGAGAAAAATTAAGGGTACTACAGGGTATCATGGCAGAAAGTTTCATACAATATGCCTGTGTGCAAACGAAGGTAACACTTTGATTTTGGAAGTCTTGGATATCAATAGCATATAGATTGATGCCCGAGGTTTATGCAAGATACTTAGGGATGACTGCTAATATTTTAAGTGGCATGTGATAACTGATGCAATATTGGAAGGGGAAAAGTCTTAATAAATAGTGGATGGCCTAAGCATTGCTGTTCTCCAAGTGTGCTGACTACATTTATGGTCAACAGTAAACTGCACATTTGTCACCCTTTCATCCCACAAATGTTTATAATTAGGTAACAGCTAATTTACCTTTTAAAATATATCTACATAATGTTTATTTGAGATGTTCTACAATCATTTGTTGTTATCTAGTACTAGATAATTCTCACCACAGTCCATCTTCAGTGGAACCTAGCCAAGTATAAATGGTTATAAATCTAGTTTTGCTGTGAAGGGAAATTGAAATTCCACCATATAAAACATATTCGTGGTGTTTATTTAGAAACACAGAAGAGCATCCTAGCACTGCTTTCCTGTTGTGCACACTGAGTTTTACCTTGATTATCTCAAATATTTTGTATTGCATGTTAATTAATTTTTTTCATATCCTAGTAGTACAAAATTAATTACAAAATAACAAAAGAGCACCCTTACAGTTCTAACTATTCTATGCAGATGTCTTCCAAAATTTACAGGTACAATTTTAGTGGTGGTGGTTGGTAAATAGATTTTTTTCACTTATTTATCAGCAGACTTGTTTTTATATGTATTAGTGACAAAATGGACTAAGCACCGCTGTAAGTTATTGTATTTCTGTAGAAAATGGAAAATAGTGTAAAATTGTTTTTGTTAAATGTTGGCAGTTTATAAATAAACTTTTCATCTCCTAAAAACCCTCTGTTCTCTGACAACAAATTTGACTCCAGTTTCTTCGTTTACCAACTGCTATCCTTCCTAATTATTGTTAATCACTTTTCAGTGATAAGCTGCCTTTAACTTGAACTGCGCCTTCTTTTGTGAATTAGGTGATGACAGCAGACTTACTATGGTTCTTTTTAAACATCGACAGTTAAGCCTTTTTAAAATGCTTTTCTAGGTCTTTGTTCAAGCTTAGTTTCTGAAAGGATTGAGGTGAACGCGAGCTCTTCTGAATAAGAAGTTTCTTATTGACAATAGACAGCTGACTGTACTGTCTAGAGTCACAGAACTTGGACAGCTGGTTGATGCTTATGTTTCTGTCACTTTTTTAAGGTTCAGCATGTAATTCTGTGACTTACCTTTTTTAAAAGCTGGAATCAAGTGGAGTAGCTTATACCAGTTTTTCCAAGTTCCATACAATTTTTGTGCAGATATAGTTGAAGGGAAGACATTTCACAGATCTTAAAAGCCAGTAATTGCCCTCTTATGTTCAAAAAATTTATTTTGTTTGATTATATTAAAGATAGATGTAATATGGAAGCATGGTACTTTGATTCCAGTTGACTGCCTTTAGAACATAAATTTTGTTGTATAAATTTTATGAGACTACATGAAGGAGAATCCTCAGGTAACCCGTAATCAGAACTGGATGAAAAGATACTTGAGGTATGCTCACTATTTTTGTAAAATTTCTAACTATGCAAATACTTAGACATTAACAACTGGATCCATAGGGTTGATGTTTTAAATCTGCAGTTAAGCTCCTGAAATAGTATTCTACTTCATGTATAGTTCCGTGATTTCCGTTTATGAAAAATTGTTCATTTTTTATCAAAACTGACTTACACAGTAAGATCTCTTTTATGGACTTGAGTTAATGCTGCAGTAAATTTGCTTCCAGTCCATGTATATCAGGGCAATCAGTAGCTCTATAAAGATTTTTCATTCCAGGCTGTTACCCAAATAATTCTGAGATTCATTTAAATAATATATTAAGTTAATAAATATTAATAGAATATTGAACTATCAGAGTGTGTGGTTGGGGTTGGGTTTTTATTATTTAAGTAGTGACACTGGGATATTTTAGTATAACAGCATATGTAAAAACTCTAAAGTTAGAGAGTTTTTTATTTAATATCTTTTCCAGGATGTGACTAGAATCGTAGGTCCCATAGTGGTTCTCAAGTTCACTTTAGTGTTTCTTGTCTTGTCATCTTGGTATCTTGTTCAGATATACAAGCAAAGAAATGAAAAATAATGTCTGCATGGTCTTATCTTCTACTTGCACTTTATAATAATTATTTGCTCTCTGATACAGTCCTACAAGTCTTCCACTGTACTCTAGTTCCAATAAGTCTAAATATTCCCCAGCTACTATTAAGCAAATGAACCTCTAGAATTTCTTTGCTGGCTGCTGGAAGGCAGTTGGTGGCATTGTCTGGTTTTCCATAAGCCTGGAGTATCTGGCTGTTAACTCTTCAGTCTGTTTGGGGTTGCTATGCCTCTGAAAAGCTAGCCATAGATTCACCACTTCCTTCGTAACTGAATGCTTGAAGCACCTTTGCAAACTACTTTTCTACGGTATCTGGTAAAGATGTAAAAAAAGAAAAGTTGAAATGTTATGTCAAGTATCAGTAGGGAGAGGTAAGTTCATGGGGCACAGAGTGGAAAAAAAAGCACGACAGAAGCAGTTTGGCTGAGCCATCCTACTGCCTGCATGAGCTGCGTCTGACATGCAGACATGTTGACAAGCTAGGAAAGCAGTTTCTAGGGGAAGATGACAGTCTTTGGAGAGCAAGTGTTTTTTGAATTTTGAAGTGGAATGTTCAGAAGAGAAGTGGGAAGTTTTCTATATAATGTGAGACAGTTTCGGGGTTATCTTTAATATATTCTCAACTCTAGCATACCCTGTAGTATCAGGGGTTTGGGGTTTTTTTAAGTGTGTGTGTGGGTTTTTTTGTGTGTGTTTGGGTTTTTTTTTGAGGGAGCGTGGTGTGTCTTTGTTTGGTTGGTTTTGTTTTTTTTTTTGCCAAAGTACACCTTCCTGGTGTCTTAAAGCACAAAAGATCAGGGGGACAGCAATGACTTTTCGCTGCAGAACCCATGGAGTTTCAAAGGTCTTGCTTTCTTTCCCCATATAAGCTATTGTGTTAAACAGAAGTATTAATCTGCCTGGCACCTGTATCTGACTGGGAAAAGTGAAATAATGGAAGTTGCATTTAGTGGTTTCCATGGCAGTCAGTGATTACTAAGTGGAGTCAAACAGAAGACAAGAAGAGAACAATCAGGCAGGTCATTTTCATTATCCACTATGAAGCTTAAAGCTTACATCTTTAAACATATACAGGCATGAAGGAAAGTGAAACTATAAGGTATCCCAGTCTCGCTTCAGGTTAGCATGTCTGTGTATGCATATTTAGTGGTGTGGGAGACAACTTTTTAACCAGGGAGATTTAGCGGCACTGCAAACATCAGTGGAACCGTGAAAATTTAGTAGCCACTGTGGGCTCACTACTGAAGTAGTGGCTTCACTACTAAAGGACAATATGGCTTTTTCTGATGAAAAGGGAAATGGGAATTTTCCTCTCCATGTGTAACTGCTGTCTTTACATGGTACTGTCTAGCTGTGTTTTATGAGTGACTGGCCCCTTTTGTACTCGTTGCTGTCTTACCACCGTCTACCACTACCTCCCCATCCCCAGTCCTGCACATCCTTCACCAGTCTGCACAGCTACACCAGCCCCTTTGTACATCCTGGACCCTCAGGTTTGCATCCTCATCAGTTGCAACTTTCCAGTTTGCCTGTGGTTTCTTAATAACACATTCATTAGTGTGACTGACTGCTGAGGTCTGTTTCTTGCCTTTGCCTCTGTTAGTTCATCAGTTGGGTTTATGTCTCTGTATTCTTGTTTGTGCCTTCCCCTTTACTTGTTAACACCTTTTGGTGTTGGAATACCAGATACCCATAAGGGAGCAGAAACTCTCTCCTTTTACATACCCTTGCACAAACTGGTTTGCTTGCTTTCAGGAAAGCTGAAAACCTTGCTTCACTGTAGTTTTTTTATACCATGTCAGCTTTATTCTTTATTTTGTAAAGCCTTTGAAGTTTCACTGGAAATGTAAAAGCTTTCAAAAAGTCTTTAATAGATTTATGGATTCCTACAGTCCCATGAAACACAGCCTGTTCAGTTTGGTAGTGCTTGACTTAAATTAATACAGAAATAAAGATTTGCTTCCCCAGCTGCTCATGAGATTTGAGCAGTGGTTGCAGTTTTCCCTGTAAGATAGGGCAACCACAAAAACAAACAGAAAACTGAAACTGCTGCTTGAATTGAGGAATCAGAGAGGAGAGTGGGTGGCAGAGGTTAGGAGTAGTTTTTTATGGACTATAATGATGATAGAAAGGGAACAACATGAAATATAAATAGATAAATTCCCTTTCTGTCTTGAAAGGTTTCGAGTTTTCTCCATCAGCAATAGGTCTGCAAATGAGGAAGAGAACATACTAATGAACATATTAATGAAGTGGGTGCCACTGGGTTAAAAATAGGGATGCAGATTTAAGCACATATGGATACATGGCAGGTCAAAGCTGACTGCACTGAGTCATATTTAGGAACAGGAAAATGACCTGGGAAAATGTCAGTTCTTTGCTGTCCCTACTAGCAGAACTAACCCCTGCAAACTTACCAGCTTCGGGGTTAAACTATCAGATTACCTGTAGGAAGTAGCACTGTAATAACCTGTCTGATGGCTCTGGACCTTAAGGAAAGAGATGAATATCTCCATCCCTCTCTGATTAGAGGCTTCCATAAGGGAAGCAGAAATACAAAGCATATTTTTCTTAAAATCTGGAGGGCAGAGGAGGGGGTGAGGAGAAGCCTACTGAATGTACACAGAAAGTAAGATTGACTCACCACCCCAAAGGAGAGTAATCGCACAGCACAGGAGACCTGCTTTACCGCTGCGTGGAACGGGCAGATGGACCTGCTTGTCAGGAAACCTCAAGCCTGATATGTCCCTTTTGTAAGGGATAAAAGCTACTTTATGCTTCTGGGAGTCTGGCTACCTCAGTGAAGATGAGCCTTCCTACATCTCCCTCTACGGTAATTAGTTTGCAAGATACTATCATACTTCTTTTTATATATTTTCTCCATTTATTTTTTTTCTGAATCAGTGACTATGTTTCTTTGTTTGTTTTCTTTAGTGCCGAAGGTTTGATAGGAAGAATAAGGATATATCCATACTCAGGCCAAGAAGACAACTGTCCTTGCAAATGATACGTGAATTAACATTAACATACAGTTAAATATGGTAAGCAGTATTCTGTGGCACAAAATAGCAGTGATATTTTTTTCATTTCGATGAATCTGTAGAAAAAGGACAGGATTTTGTCTGTGATTTTGTATTTAACACCTGATTTCTGTGACTTTTTTTCTGAAGAGTTTAAGTCACACGTGTTGTGAAAGGGCTTGTTAATTTTACTAAAACAGATGATTAATGACCAAAGGGAATGAAAAAGGGAAAGGAAACTGAGCTCTTTAGCCTTCTAGTTGTTCATCTTCAGAGTGCCATAATTTAATAGTTAGTGTTTTGATAATCAACACTGATCAGCATTGCTGTGGCTGGCATCTCTGTTCTCAGAGAACGCACAGTCTGTTTACTTCATATTGGAATGAATGGTATTTCAATATTGATATTTCATACATAGGATTTGATTTTTTTAAATAATAACAAGTTTAATGATAGTTTTAATAATAAGTGTAATCGACAAGTATATGGGTTAAATTTACTACGGGAGGAATGCCGAAAAGGATTATGGGGATTGGAGTTCCCGGGAACTCTGCCGAGCATGCTCACTAGACATGCTTGGACGTGATTGGTCGGGAAAGTCACATGCCGTGACGTCACTGAACTGAGTGTGTAAGACCTTGTTTTTCGCAGTAAATTTGAGTTGGCGGGTTGATTTCAAGCTGCTTGGTCTGTGCAATCGATGCTGCAGACAAGTTTAATAATAGGTAAGTTTGATAATAATGTATGAAGTTTAACAATTGAAAACAAAACAATAGTGGTAAATAAGAAAAATTATAATAAAAATGGAAAGAAAAAAACAAATAAGAGATGCACAATTCAACTGCTCACCACCTGCTGACTGATGTCAGACCCCCTTTCCTGAACCCAGATTGGCCCCCCTTCCAGGTAACTCCTCCAGTTATATACTGGGCATGACGTTCTGTGGTGTGGAATATCCCTCTGGCCAGTTTGGGTCAACTGTCCTGGCTTTGCTCTTCCCAGTTTCTTTTCTGTACCTTCTCACTGCCAGAGTATGAGGCACAAAAAAATGCTGTCAACTGTATTCTCGTTCTGAATGCACATCACTGCACTAGCTACTGAGAGGAAATTAATTGTATCCCAGCTGAAACCAGGACATTCCCTCAGCCCCGTCACCAGCATGGCAGTACAAGAATTAGAAAAGGCCTCGGTGCTGTGCAGACACTGCTGAGCAATAAGAAAAACTTACGTGTATTATTAGGTTAGGTTTTGACACAAATCAGGCAAATCGAACACAGCCCACAGTCACTAATTCACTAAATCTGTTCAAGCTCAGCAACTGCAGGATTGAGATGTTGAGATTTCCTGGTGGGACACATTAATTCTTTTCCCACAACTGTTTCATGTGTTTTTTTTAAAGTCCACAGAGAAGGCACTGGCAGATTTTACTTCATTTTTTCAGTGGGGGAGCATGCCCACAATATCTGTGCCACTGTTCCTCGGAGAGGAGTCAGTGCGATCATTTGTTGTGATGAGCTGTTTATGGACTAATTTGGGTGCAGCAATACTAGAACAAAACTAGTTGCAAGTATAACCTCTCCAAACATGCATCATGCAGACACTGTCTCCTCTGCACAGACTGTTCCACTCTGAAGATTGTCCCCACTAAGCTGCAGCACTGGATTCACAGACAGACTGTATACATCAGTAGGAGGTTTCATTCTCCCATGCCTTGCTCACAGCACACAAGACAGAGTAAAACCATCCACAGTGGAGAGGCATCCAGTCCACTTGGAGAGCAGCAGCAGCAGCACTGCCTGACCTGCTTGCTGGTCAGGTATAATCTGCATACTCTGTCGTGGGTGCTAAAATGGAAGCATCCCAGCTCTGTCAGATTGAAGAGATTTGTATTCTATTTGCAAAGCTTTTGTATCTGCAGAGGACCTTTCAATTGTTGAACCACAAACTGTACTCAGGTCACATCCTCTCTCCATAAGCTGCTACGTCTGTAGGTACTGTGAATATTGTTATCTCCAGGCTCATCCATTCATCGTGATCTCCTTTCTGTGTGAGCTTGTTCTTTCTAACTAAAAACAATCAGGAAAAATAGAATCTGCTACTAACCCCATCTCTGTGGACCACTGAAAACCCATGGCATTTGTCTATAAGCTCTATTGTACACCTGGCTAGAGCAATTCAAAGCAAATCAGTTTCACCAAAAGAAGATCTTCTGTGGGTCTGCTCGATCGCATCAGGACTTTCAGGATCTGCAGGTGACCTCTTGAGGTGTCAGGTGAATTTCAGCCTTTGAGCTGAGGGTAGAACTGGACATCACATCTCCACATCTCAGAGTGTCACCAATACATTGTCTTCTCTCTTACACAGTCTTTCCTTCTTCAAGGAAACTTGGCTTTAGGAATAATGAGAACAGGCAAGTCAGTGTATCTACTGATTTTTCAAGTTTATTCAATATTGCAGATGCACACACTGAATTTTAGCTTCCACAAGTCCAGGTTCAACCTAACGGAAGTTCAGCACAATCCCACAGCTCCCTTCCAAACCATAGTCCCCTTCTCATTCTGCAAGTCATTGAAATCTTTTGTATCTGATGTTTTGAGCTCCTTGCCCAGTTGCACAACTGGGCTGGGCTGAATGGAGGATGGAGCAAATGCTCAGGGGGTTTCAAAGCCAAAGCAAGAAATTTAAGCCCCTCTGGAACAGGGACAGTTCTGCCACTGGGGCTGAGTCAGAGGACCTCAGGGCTCTCTGTGGTGGCTTTGGCAGTTTGTCTGTTTTGCCAAGAGACCCCCTGCGAGCTCCTGAGGAGGAGCTGACACTGAGTGTGGTGATGATGCCCAGAACCCACTGAGCAAGGAGGTGAGGATGAAGGCTGTGGCTTGTTGTCCAGGTGATGTGGCTCTGGTGGCTGTGACATCACAGAGGATGGTTCACAATGGGAGCCATCTAAGGACAACACTGGGCAGCCCCACTGCAGTTGCACTTGGGCGACTGGTGAGTGTGCATGCAGGGGAAAGGCTGGAAAGGCTGGGGGATGGGACAGATGCCCAGGGGGCTTTCCAACACTAAGCTAGAGCCAAACCCCTCAGAGCAGGACAAAGTTCTGTCACTGGGGCTGAGGACAGAGAGGCTCAGGGCTCAAAATGGTGGCAGTGCCCAGAGGATTTAGGGATGTGCTGGGTGCCCCTGACTCCATGGGATGGGATGCTGCAGCTTGTCAGGGATGGGGCCTCTGGAGACTCTGCTCAGGTGTCTCTAGCCCTTTCACAGGACATAGTCCACCCACACCATCAGTGTTCCTTTGGCTGCCCACATTGTGAGGAGAGCCCCGGGGAGCTTTGAGCCGGTGGCTTTGTCTTTGGGGTGATGATGCAAAGAAACAGCTGAGCCTGGGGGTTGGGGATGAAGGCTGGGGACTTGTTGGCCAAGTGATGTGGCTCTGGCGGCTGTGACACCGTAGAGGACCAGTCACAAAGGACGCCATCAGGCAGCTCCTGCCCCACTTGCCCAGTCTCATGCTCCTTCTCATCCATACCTGCTGAGGAAACTTTTCTCCCACCTCTCACAGGCCATGGATTCATCAATTGTCCTCTTCCTGGCTGTGCTGGCTCTTCTCCCTGAGCAGACGTACGATCACCAGATTGATGTGGTCACAGCCCAGCGGATGAAGGAGCGTGAGAAATTTCTGCATCATCAGATGACACAGCTGTGGGAGGATGTTGAGCGGATCAGGGCCTTGGAAGAAGAGTCCCTCCTTTTCCTGTTGCAACACTGGCTCTTTTGGGCAGTTGCAGTAGCTGAGCTTGCTATGGTCTGCTGGCTGACCTGGCAAATGAAGGTTGCCTCTCACAGCTGCCGTGAGCAGGACAGCTCCAGCAGTGAGAAGCAGGAGGAAGACAAGGACGAGGAGGAAGCAGACCTCAGTGAAGCACACAGATTTATGCTCAGGCCCACCCTATCACCAACACGGGGAGTGCTCGACCTGTGCAGGAATCTGAAGCATCTCGTCCATGATCTCCTGTTTATCAGCCGAGAGTTTTCCCGGAGGACTTCCATGCCAGAGATGTACCCAGGCATTGGGGTGGACGGCTCTCTTGAATCCTGGAGTGTCAACCCCCAGTATCGAATCTTCTACCAGCTGATTGTGGTCCTGCGGCCACCCTGTGGGCACTCCTTCATCCTGGAGCGAGACACCACGGCGCAGCAGCCAGAGAGATGCTCTGATATCCATGTGAAGCTGGAGTGCACGTGCTCAAGTGAGCACGGGATGGAATACAACTTGTGTTTTCTCCATCCCACTGACAAACGGCTACCACAGGATCAGAGGTCACCTCTCCTACGCACCCTCTGCATAAGGTCCTACTTAAATGTGGAGAAAACCGCCCGCTGGGCACAGAATTTGCTGAAAACAGCTTGGTGGCGTTTGCCTCAGTGGCCCCGCCGCCACCTATGGGTGATGCACTCCTCCTGGACCTGCAGGTTCCTCGTGATCAGCCCCTCTGAGAGGCAAACCTGCACAGAGATGTATTTTGTAGTGCAGCAAGGCAGCCCAGGCAATTACCTGGTCCTGCAGTAGGCAGTGGTCAGCTTTCCCGCTGTGCTGCTTTAGGCTACTCTGTATAGTCAGTTTAGGGGGCATCTACTACATGTACTCACCACAGAGCCACCCGCTCAACGCCCTTCCCTTTCCCGCTACCCTGATGGAGTGGGGATGAGACTCCAAAGTAAAACTTTAGTTAAGTTTAATAGTAATAAGTTTAGTAATAGGTTTCATAATATTAGGAATAAGTAGAATGTTCTCACAAGGTGTGTAGTAGTCACAGTTAGCTTAGTTAGTAGGGGATAGAAAAGTTATTAGTTGTGTAGTTACCCAGTAAAAGATAGGCAGCAAAGGGTAAATATCCAGTAACCTCCATTTTGAAAATACTGGGGACCCTCAAAGCCCCTAATGAGCATGTAAGGGGGCAAATGTGGTAGGCATGTCGGGAAGTCTGTAACCCCAGAGTATCTCAGCTTTGAAGAAACAGGAAGGGACCTGCATTTCGAGCAAAGAGGATAAAAGAGGCTGCAATCTCTGTCAAAGTGAGAGACCTAACTGGGGATTGTCCAATGAAGTCTCCCTTTTATTTGAATAAAAGTTTGACTTTAGCTCCTCTGTGTCTTGTCTATCTTTGAGGCTCTTAATAACTGCATTATTTTTTGGAACAAAAGCAAAGTAAAATACAACAATAGTGGTAATTAATAATAAAATGATAATAAAAATGGAAAGGAAAAACCCCATACAAATACAAGTAGAAACCCTATACAAATATAATTGGTCACCACCTTCTGACTGATGCCAGACCCCTTTCCTGAACCCAGATCAATTATATGTGAGCGTACCCATCTACGTACTTTGATCACAGATGAAATTTCCTCACCAAAGCAACCAAGATTCTATTTCTCTAGCAAAAGCTGTGAGACTGCCTTTCACCTTAATTCATATGCTAATGCCAGAACCTTTCTCAACTTGCTGTCCACTGACACCCTTCAATCATTTGCACTGCCCACTCTTTTCACCTCTCCAAATGACAGTCATTCTTAAACCTGACCCAGCAATCCTCCTTGGCAAGACAAAAGATGTTAGTGCATGGAATACATCTTCCTTCAAGTCCACTAGACTTTGCATCTCATTTGTTGCTGCCATCTACCATATAGTGAATAACTTTTGTGCATAGCTCCCCATTAAGTGAGCTTTTCCAAATGGAGGGTGTAAAAGGATATTTCTATACTAAACATAACAGAGACATCTGAGCTTGATCTAAACAAGCCCGCCTCCTGGGCTTATTTACTTTAACAAGGAGGATGCTCCATTTTCATTATATTACTATGCTTCATCACCTGAAGAAACAGACTTCAGATATAGTAATAGCTCTTATTACTTAAATAAAAGTATAAATACAAGTCTAGGTTGGCCAGTGTTTTCATTTCATCTGTTCCTGTTGTGTTTTCAGAGAACATGAATGTTATTTCAATTTTCCACAAGGCTTTATTATCCAATTCTATTCATCATTAAACCCCACAAATATCCCTGACTTCTATGGCAGCAGCTCTTGTGTTGGCTCTGCTAAATATTGTTTCCTTCAATTCCTTCATATTTCAGTAAAAACTCCTGAATTTTTTTATTCTTATATTTACTCCTGTGGCCTGAAATCAGGCCACTACCTGGATGACTTTCTCACTGATTTGGAGTAAGTTAGGTTGGGTTGGGATTTTGCTTTGTTTTTTCATGTATTCACTAAGCTTTGGACAAGACACTGACTCCCCTTAGACTTATATTACATTTCTCCAGCATTCTCATCAGCAAGGCATGACAAGTTATGAGACTGACACATGAAAAGGGATCATATACAATTAGTGGCCATTTAAAAATTAAAAAAAAAAAAAATTAGTTTCACTGGTATTTCTCTATCAACCAGTGTTTAAAGGAGCACTTCCAATCCTGCCAGGCAGTGTGGTGAGGCTCATGGTCTAAAGAGTTGCAAGGTGTTCAGACAGTAGGTGAGATATGATATGATATGTTTTTTGCATGTGATAGCTACCCATGTGACATCTAAGTGCTTCAAAGAACAAATAATAAAAGATCACACTTGATATCTGTCACAAGCTTCACCTGGAACAAAGAAGAATTGCAGCATGTTCTGAAAATCCCCATGTGCTCCTACTGCTGGATTCAGTAGATTGCTAGCAGGAGGGAGTTTGTACTTCTGAGAATCCTTCACTGGGAGTATCTCCTTTTGCTCTCTCTTGGACTGTTTGGGGTTAACAGTGGAAGTGCCCCAGCTGAGGTTCTTTCCACTTTCTGAAATCCAAACCCATCACGGACAGTAGTGCCAAGTCATTAATTTAAAAACTGGAATTACAGGCAGGAGGCTCTTTGTCCTGGTTCTGGCCATGATAGGGTTGATTTTTGCAGTAGCCAGGAGGGACATGACCAGGACCCAGAGGTTATTCTATACCACCTCGTGCTGTAAGCAGGGGGCAGGAGGAAAGGGTCCCTTCCAGTTGGGTGGCAGCAAGTGTGGGGTCAGGGTTAGTATCGTGTTGACCTGGGGAGCACTCACTTGTGAATCGCTCATCTCTCTTGCACGCTCTGTTATTAATAGTGTTACTGTTACTGTTCATTTCATTGCTGTTTCCAGGAAATTATATTTCAACCCATGATCTTTTGTGCTTCCAGTTCTTCACTCCAGCCACCCACGGGGACAGGAGGAGATAGAGTGAGCAAGCTGTGCACAGTTTGGAGTGTTTCAGTGGGAATACTAAATTGGGGAATACCATTCCTAAACGATGACATTATAGATAAAAAAATGGAGCTGAGCCTAATTCTAGCTTGGTTTTGCCAAGCAGTTGGTCTAATGCCATGACTGATTTCTATGGCACTGCATGCAATTCCAGAAGTACCTGACTCCAGGAGCAAGCCCACCAGAGAGGGCACCATTTGGCTTGTTGATGAAATGACAAAAAATCCCACTCTGAAAAAAATCTAATCACTTCATTAGAGTTACTTGGGGTTTTTCACGTTCTGTAGAGCAAGGACCCTTACTGTCACTGCTCCCTGCAAGCATCTTTGACAAGGGGCATCACCTACCTCACCAACAGATGGAACAGGCACTAACCTTGCCAAGTCCTGCGCTTCTTTCAACCTTCCAAACCACATGCCACTGCTGCCACCTCCAAATCTGGCTTTAAACTCGCTTACCTCCTTCTGCCTGAGACAGTTCTGAAACTGCTCTATAATGGAAAGATGAACTGCAGAGGAAGCAAAATCACACAGTCTAGTATGTCTCTTTTAACATTTTCCCCCTATGAAGATGAATCTGGATTTATTGAATATTTAGTACACGGTCCTTCAGACAAATAAATGCTTCAAAGCATAACTAGTGATACACTGTCCCCTCAGATTAGAAAAGGAACAGTCTGTTTTTACAGGCTGTAGGTGATTAGGATACAATAATTGCAACCGAACAGAAGTTAAGTTTTCTGTTCTAATATCAGGGATGCCTGCTCCAAATTTTGGCCAATGAAGTGATGGGAATCATCAGAAAAAAAAAATTAGAAAAAAATTTGCAGAAACTCTCCATTAAACTTTCTGGGAGCAATGACTAATGTTTGAAACAGTCTAGAAGACTTTAATTGGTGTTGAATTTCAATTAATTAGAGACTATCTTGCTTGTGTGTCATAAGATTGGATGCAGGCACAGTGAAATTTTATATGTTTGTTATATAGGAAGTCAGAATGGTTGACAAAACTGGTGACTTTTATACTTGAAAAACATAGATCTGACTCCATGCTGCTGACTTAGCTGTTTCAGACTGAGCTAGTAAAGAAGAATAATAGAATCACAGAATATGCCAAATTGGAAAGAACCCACAAGGATCATCAAGTCCAACCTTTAGCCCTGCACGGAACCCTTCCCAAGAGTCACACCATGTGCCTGAGGGTATTATACAAATACTTCTTGAATTCTGTCAGTCTTGGTGCTGTGACCATTTCTCTGGGGATGCTGTTCCACTGCCCAGCCCAACCACCCTCCGGGTGAAAAATATTTTTCTCATATCCAACCTAGACCTTCCCTGACACAACTTCACTCAGGTTCTGGTCACCACAGAGAAGAGATCAGTGCCTTCCTCTCCTCTTCCCCTCCCAAGGAAGTTGTAGACTGCAATGAGGTCTCCCCTCAGTCTCCTTTTCCCCAGGCTGAACACACCAAGTGCCCTCAACCACTCCTCATACAGCTTCTCCTCAAGGCCTTTCACCATCTTTGTTGCCCTCCTTTGGACACTCTCTAAGAACTTTATATCTTATACTGTGGCACCCAAAAACTGCACACAATATTCAAGGTAAGGCTGCCCCAGTGAAGATAAGAGAGAGACAATCACCTCCCTCAAATGATGTTTTGCCTTATTCTCCCCAGGACACGGTTGGGTCTCCTGGTTGCCAGGGCACTGCTGACTCATATTCAACTTTCCATCAAGAAGAACCCCCAAGTCCCTTTCCCAGCATTGCTTTCCAGTGTCTCATTCCCCACCTGTAACGTACATCTGGGGTTGCCCCATCCCAGGTGCAGAATTGACACTTTCTGTTGTTTTACTTCATATAGTTAGTGATTGTCTAGTCCTCTAATTTGGTAAGATGGTTGAGTCTGGAAGATTTTTATTCATAAAACTGCCTTCCATTAGTTCAGTGATGCAATATCAGAATTTGAAAACATTTCTGTTTCTGAAACCCACCTAATTCAGTAGTAACAAACACATCTGAAACAGCCTCTCTTCTAGCAACAGGTATTGCACACACCACTAGAGTCAAAGATTAATGCTTTTTGACATATGAAAGCTTTCAGACAGTAAAAAGCATTCAATTCTGTCCCTTGTGGGTCTTGAGCTATCTGACCTTAAAAATGTCAAGACTGAACTGGTTTTTTCAGCCTGCAAGAGCTGTTTTGCTTTTCGTTCAGGGCTGAAAATAACAAGTGACACACACCTAGGATCATTGCAAGTCCAGTCCTGAAAACACATACAAGATGACTAGATTAGTAGACTAATGTAGGAAAAAAAGTGTCTGAACTGCCACAGCCAAGGTTTTTATCTAGGCTGATGGGTATATAAATAGAGGCAGAATGTAGGCATGCTGAATCCAATTAATGTACTCTACAGAGCATAGGGTTTTTTCCCTGAAATGGGAAAGCATCAGTATAACTTCTTTGCCTTTGAAACATCCAGGCCCAGCCAACAAGGTGTCCATATGAGACCTGAGTGAGGTCCGTCCCTGAGAGAGATACTTTGCTGATGCTCACACAGCAGCTTGTGCCAAATGTTCCAAATGGGAAGAAAGGCCTGTTTACATTTTTCTCTGAGGTAAGTATGTCTTTGTTGCTGGGGGTGTGCCAAGCCTCAAAAGCCACACATGGAATGACACAAATACTTCTCTTTAAACTGAAATACAGAAAAAACTCCCTATGTAAATGAAAAAAATTGGTTCGGTGTAAATAGAATTTTTTTATTGAGCAAGTGGGCCTGAATATGCCAGAAGCTGGCTGATAGGTGTTTGTTACAGATTACC